CGCTGCTTAACACAAGACTGTGCAAAGTGCAGTGACATTTTGGTTTTTAATTTCATTTGCTGATTTACACGTTCTTCCCTTTGTTTTGTCGAATGGGATCATAGCTAACGGAGATATGAAGAGACAGGCCAGGGGTGTCAGTCACAGATCCGTGTTAGCACCCTCAGTGAGCAGGCACGACATGAAGAAATAAAACCGTACAAAGGGCTGGGGATGTAGCTCATTTGTAGAACTCCTGCCTGCCATGTGCCAAACCATGGGTTCATTCCCAACAAAATACAAAACCATATTTTAAAAAAATCTCTTTGGGGGCTGGAGAGATGGCTTGGAGATTGAGAACACTGGCTGCTCTTTTAGAGGTCCTGAGTTTGATTCCCAGCAACTACATGATGGCTTATAACCATCTTATAACCATATATAACTGGTGTCATATATGTATATATGTATGTGTGTGTTATATATATATTTATTATGTTTTTTGAGTCAGGGATTCTCTCTACAACCTTAGCCGCCCTAGAATTTGCTCCGTAGACCAGGTTGGACTCAAACTCAGAGTTCTACGTGCATCTCCCTCCCACAGGCTGGGAGTAAAGAGTACACCACCACAGCCCAGCGTTGCCATCGATATTGAGTCCTTCAGCGGTTACCATTAGTGTCTCCAAACTATTTAAAACATGGATTTTTTTTTTTTTTTATTTTCACGGGCATGGTGGCTCATAACTGTAATATCAGTTCTCAGAAAGCTGAGACAGTTGGATTGTCATGATTTCTTAGAGGCCAGTCTGAGTTACAGAGTGAAAGACAGCCAGAGCCTGAAGATCACTTTTATAGTATAAGTAATGGCCAGCTTAGTGCTTCACCTCATTGCTTTATGCCTTTCTTTTCAGCGTGGAGGTCCAGAATGATCACTATGGCTGCTGTTTGTCATCAGACAAAAGGATTACCTTTGCAATAAAGGACTTCGAAAATGTCAAATGAAAAATTGTATATTAAGCAACCTTAATAAATATTCTGCAAAAAGAATGAAGTGTAGAAACTCTAGATGGCCACTTGTATCTCCTACTTTATGTATCCTGGTCGGCTTGTGCACAGGCTGACCTATATACCTACTAAAGTCTACATTTTTAAATGCCAACCTGTTAACTTCTTGATTATGAAGATTACCAGCAACACACTGTTAAAAACACAGTATCTAGTAACTATCATAAATGTCCCCATTTCTGTTTGTTTAGACATAAAGATAATTTATAAAGCATAATTACTGCTCTGAGGAAATTTTTCCCTTGAAATTGGGTGAGGATCAGTAAGATGTTTCCAATCTTTATTTTGACTTTTTTCATTCACAAGTTTATCTGAGTATAATTGATGTAATCCTATCCTATTCTAAGTAATAAAAATACAATTTAAATAAAAGCTGGAAGTGGGATCGAGACTATGCAGATGATGTAAGAGGTTCTTTGTACCTATGTTCAGAAAAAGTAGGGAGCAGCGACAGCCCTGAGTGAGAAGCCACACAGGGACGTAAGGTCTTCCCAGGTGGGCTCAGAGGGACTGAATTAATCAGTGTTTAGGAATGATTGTCCGTGTGTGCAGAGACCAGCTTCTTCCTCCAGGATGTTTTCCAGCATACAAAGACTAGTTAACTCCTTCCTCTGTTGCTGTCCCTGACAACCAGGCTGAGGTTCTGGGAGCAGCAGAACCCCACCTGATCCCAGCTTTACTGGACATCTGCTGGTGTCTGCCATTTCTTCATTGCCTTGTTGCTCCTAGTTGGGATTCCAGACTAGATAAGATGAAGATAGCATAGCAACAAATGGTTCACTAGAAATTGCCTCTTAATATGTTTGTGAGGTTGTTACGCATTTTACTGTTTGCAAATCCTCAAAATTAATTTTCACTGTTTTAATGTGAGAGTCTTTCAGATTCTAACTTATGAGGCAACCAATGAAACTATAATGGGTTCTCCTTATACTAATTTTCACAAAGCTGACCAAATGCAAACTTGTAATGATTTCTAAGGTATACTTTATAGAGAAGTCACCCTAAATGAGTAACCCATGAGCACTAGATAACAGAATTGTTATTTATTTTTTGTTCACTTGCTCATGAGCTAATCTTTACCTTTTTTCCCTAGCATTCCAGAGTTGATTTCTCTTTTTAAATTCTGTGCTATGAAGGTTACCTTAATCAAATATATGGATTTACATTTGATATTAATGGTAACCTATTCTAGTAACTAATGAAAAGTACATAATTCATCTTTTTCTTTTTTTGAGATAGGGTATTTTTTCACATTTTTTATCTGTCTCTGTCTGTCTGTCCTATCAAGGCAGGATCTTAACTATGTAGTTTGGCTGGCCTGGAACTCACTGCGTAGACCAGGATGGCCTCAAACTCTGAGATCCCAGCTTCTGCCTCTACAGCGTTAGGATTAAAGGCATGCCCATCCATGCCCAGCTATGATTCTTTTTTTTTTTCCCAAATAAGATTATTTTGGGGTGAAGACATGGCTCTAACAGCGTTCTTGCCAAGCAGTTCTGAGGGCCTAAGCTGGGGCCTCTGCGCACATGTAAAAGTGGGAGCAGTTGTGTAATCCTACTTCTGGGAAGGCAGAAAGACAGGATGCTGGAGCTCTCTGGAGTCTTCAAAACGAAAAGATGGTTTTCTGCAGTCTATGGGTGTTTTATTTGGATCAAAATAGTGACAAAGGGCCAAAGCAATACTAGCTAGCTAACCCACTTGCCAGGCAGTGGCTTTACCTTCGCAAAGTCATTCGAGTCTACAGCAATGTTTAAGTGGTTCCTGTTATAGAGGAAGCTAGGTGGCTAGAAATAAACTTCAGTCATTCATCTAGTGTTGAATACTGGTTGGCCGGTATTCAAAAGCAGGTACTCTGGATCCAAAGCATTATACTACATTATACTAGCATCTTAATTATTAGTCTTTGTATTCTTTTGCTTCTCCAACATATCTCTAGAAATTAAGATTCCTAATTTTTATATACATCAATTGCAAAAGAAGAGAAGATGGCCATTTTGACAGCTACTCCAGCTCAGAACTTTGGGATCAGCCTGTTAGCACAGTATGTGCTGGGAGTCAAAATTGATATCTGGTGAAGCCCTCTGTGTTACCACAACTCACCAACAGGCCTTCCTGATTTTCCTTGCCCTTCTTTCAACCTGTAGTATTGTGTCTTTGGCCAGAGAGATGGACTCCGACCCTCAAGCCTGAAGACCTGACCTTTGAATGTGGACTGTGGTACCCCACCATAATGACAATAAATAAAATGGAATAAAAATTTAATCTGATTCTATTGTCAAAATCCAATGGACTTTTCAGTGACATCTTGCACTGGCCTATTTAAAACAGCAAAGCACCATCTCTGTCTCAGTCCCTCTACTAGCACTTACATCGCAGCCCATATTTAACATTTTTTTCTGATCTCACTATGTAGACTTGGCTGGTCTGGACTTACATCTTCCACTACAACAGAATGTTTTGTTAAAAGATAGTTTTAGATCCACAAAAATGTTTGGCACATAGAAAGCAATACATATTTGTTAATATTTTTTAGTTGTTTTGAAACAAGGTGTCTCTGTATCCCTGGCTGGCCTGTAAGTCACATTGATCTGCCTGCCTGTGCCTCCCTAGTGCTGGGCTTACAGGCATATATGCATCTTAAATGAGTTTTTTTTATTGTATTATGATTTATGGTAACTAAGAGGTTGGATTCTAATCAGAACCAAGTTGGTTTTGTTTCAGAAATTTGTGATTCATGAATTGAGTAGAACTCGGAAGGACCAATAGCAGACCACGTTTAGCTCAGGCTTTCCTGGAAATTGCAAGCTTCCTGCCTGGGAATGGAACAAGAACAAGCAACAGTGGGGGAAAATCTGATTGGTTAATTAAGCTTACTTTTTCATGAGGGTTAAAGCACTTCTTTATGTCACCCAAAACTGGCCAGTTTGGCAGATCTGGCTGCTAGTTTCTTGAAGCGTGACTTAGTTTCTGGTTAGTGTGGAACTTCAGCATGCATGACTTTGTTTTGGTTCAATAGAGTGAACCCTGTATAGAAGCTCCGTTCAAACGAATGTTCTCAATAAAGTTTATTACCAAAGGTGTTAGGGAATTGGAGATGGCTCAGCTCTTAAGATCACTTGCTGCTCTCCTAGGTTCAGTTCCCAGCAGTTTCTGGGTATCCAACGCCCTCTCCCTATCTCCATGGGCACGCATGGGAAACACAGACATACACGCAAGCAAAACATGCATACACGTACATTTTTTAGAAGGTATTAAAACGTGTTTCTTGCCTCATACTTTTGGCTTCATTTGTTTTTTCGTGAGAAAAAAGCTGAACAATGTGATGATCAATTCTTAAACCCACCAAAAACTGAGGTCTCAGGAAAACCATCCTCCACTCCCAACCCTGCAAACTGGATCGATGTGAAACAAAAATATGACTCAAGCGGAAACCATTGCAGGAGCCAGTAATTGACAGACAGATAGGCTTGAAGCGTAATTATCACATAGGTGACATGTTCGGTAGGGCTTGGTTTTGCTTCCCGGGGCCTGTTTCTTTCATAAATCAGTTTAAGAACTTGGCTCTCGGCTGGGTGCAGTGGCGCACACCTGTACTCCCAGCATTCAGGGAGGCAGAGGCAGGTGGATCTCCATAAGTTCGAGGCCAGTCTGGTCCACAAAGAGAGTCCAGGAACCCTGTCTCTAAAAAAACCAAAAAAAAAAAAAAAAAAAAAAAAAAAAAAACGAAACAAAAACAAAACAACTTGGCTCCTCTTTGGAGGGTTTTGGTATCCATAGCGAACGCTGACCTACCTCTGGGAGCGAAGAAACTCCAAGTTTAAAACAGTGACCAAAACAGTAACCAATCGACAGCCGACCGCGGGTGGCACGTGGCAGCGGGGGAGGGCACCGCCTTCAGCCCAGCTCAGCCTCCGTAGGCCCGGCCCCGCCCACAGCGGAAGCATGGGCGGAGCCAGTAGGTGGTGCGCGTCCAGCGAACGGAAGTAGCTGTTGGGAGCTTTCGGGCGCTTTAAATTCCTGCGGGGTGGAGGGCTTTGCTTAATTGCTGGAGCCTGGCTTCTCCCTCGCATGGCTGTGGACGTGAAGTCTCGAGCGAAGCGCTATGAGAAGCTGGATTTCCTCGGAGAGGGGCAGGTGAGGCCCAGGCCTGACGCGGGGCCGCGCGGTCCTCCTCGCGCCGGCAGAGCCTGGCCGCTGCGGGGTCTCCTCGGGAGAGGCTCGCCCGACGGGTGCCTCCCTCCGGGAGAAGAGGCCTCCTGGCCACGTAGCAAGCCGTTGCGAGTCAGCTGCAGAACCAGGGTTTCTTTGTTCTTAATAATCAAACCAAAAAGGTCGGGCGGGGATCCGAAACCAACCATCACCTAAAGACCTCTCACGGATTGTACTGTTCTCCTTTCTAGTTTGCTACTGTCTATAAGGCCAGAGATAAGAACACCAACCAGATTGTCGCCATTAAGAAAGTGAGTTAACCTTTTTATGCTGTTTTCTCTCCTGTTTTTGTGTCTTGCTTGCCACGTAGCCCTTGCTGGCACGGGCTGTTTAGATTGGCCTAGAGCTTCCTGGGAGCCTTCTGCATTCCAGTGCTGGGTTTGGGTTTGCACCCGTGCCCCCACCATGGCGGGCAACTCTTACAGAAAATACCTGTGCATTAACAGTTGATTGGTGGCTATTTGTCTTTGGGACAGTCTTGCTATGTAGGCCAGGTTGGTCTCCCAACTCGTGGAAAGACTTCTGCCTCTGCCTCCCGAGTGTCGGGATTGCAGACATGACTACGTTTGACTTCATTTTTCTACCACGCTCGCACCTCGCACTCTGTGGCAATTACAAGAATTCTAGAAACAGTAGTGTTTCTTAGTGTCTTGTGTTTCAAGATGGAACTCGGGCTGAACGAGTTTTTGTTAAAATAATAGAAATTATGACTTTTTTGCTCCATAAAAATCGGTTGTTGCCAAGAAGGCAGGTACTGCCAGCCATCTCTTCAGCCCTTTTGGATGCTCTGATCTGTCCAGGCCGCAGTTCCTCTGTCTGTGCTATCTGTACAGAAAGGTTCTCAACGACATTAACAACGCTAATAATAGTGCATTTTCCAAGAAGATTTAAGTAGTTTTTAAACTTAAGTCCGGGGCTGGAGGGATGGCTCAGAGGTTAAGAGCCCTGGCTGCCTTTCCAGAGGTCATGAGTTCAATTCCCAGCAACCACATGGTGGCTCACAACCATCTATAATGAGATCTAGTGCCCTCTTCTGGCCTGCAGGTGTACATGCAGACAGAACACTCTATACATAATAAATACATAAATCTTTAAAAAAAAAAAAAAAAAAAAACAAAACTTCATTCACAACACTCCTGTGTGCCAAACTTACCTTTTTTTTTCACCTTTCAAACAACCTGTAAAACAGGCAAAGGTGCCCTTGTTTCACTGAGGTATCTACTTCGAGCTCACTCAGCTAGTAACTGCCAAGGCTAGGATTAAGAGCCCAGCTGTTGTCTGCTCTTTGTCACACTACTGAAATCTTTGGCCGTCCCATGAGGACTCCGTTTCGCCTCGCATAACTCAGGGCCTGCTGGTGTAGTTGACCTCCATATTCCTGTGCTGCTTTGAATCTGTTTCCTCCCCTGAGGTAGAAGTGATCAGGCTTCCGTCTTGCAGCCTCCCGGGCCCTCCTTTCAGGTGTTGCTGCTATTACTACCTTTGCTTTATTTTAAGAAATTGTCTTTGTATCAACAAATATTTGCAGGTGTGCGTGTGCGCGCACGCCGAACCACCTTGTAGGTTTCAGGGATTGAACCCCTGCTTGGTGGCAAGTGCCTTCACCCAGTGAGCCATCTTGTTAGCCCCTATTGTATTTTTTTTTAACTTCTCATTCCAGCTTGTGCTTTGTGAAATACTGCCATCTCTCACCCCTTTGTTAAACTCTTAGTTCTCCAAGCTGGGCTTCCTGGCTTATGTCTGTAATCACAGCTCCTCCAGAAACTGAGGTAAGAGAAGCACATGGCAGTACTTCCTAGCACCAGGGAGGTGGAGATAGGCAAATCTCAGAGGTTGGCTCCATGCAACCTGCCCTGTGTGGTGAATGCCAGTGAGAGACACTGTCTCAAAAAAACCAAGGTGGCCAGTGTCTGAGGAAGGATACTCTGAGGTCTCCTTTGGCCTGCACGCAGGCACACACATACCTACGTATGTGCTGTCTCAGAAACACACACACATAGGATCAATACCTGCCTGGGCTAAAGAATGAGCTTCAAGGCTAGCCTGGGCAACTTAGTAAGACCCTGTGGTTGAGCACTGGCCTAGCATATGTGAGGCCCACTGCTGGGGAAAGCAATAGAGGTTGGCCTGGAACTCACTGTGTAGCCCAGGCTGACCTCAAATCCTGTCAGTCTTGCTGCTTCAGCCTCACATGATAATATTACTGGTTTGAGCCATTAGCCACTATTTCCTCTTAACTCTGTTGATGTCTTCGTCATCTTCAGTTCTACTTGTGGTTCACCCCGGCCACACTGACCTTCTATTCCTTGGACTTGTTGAGTGTGTTCTAGTCTAGGACTGTGGTGTTTTCTCTCTTTGGGGGGGGGGGGGGCAGGAGTAGCTGTGTTTTCTCTTAAGAACTTGGTGTGGTTGAATTGTTTTTATTTAGGTTTCATTTGGATGTCTCCTCCACCTAGAGGTACCTTTTAATTGCAGCAAAACAGGTTTTTCACTTTTCTTCCCAGTTCTTTGCAATTCTTCATTCTATACCATCTTTATGGCATTTTCATAATCTGAAATTCTTCCATCTGAGTTCATTGCCCACAAAAATCTACTAATATTACACCTGGGACTGTGGTGAGCAGATTTGTAAGCGTTTGTTTTTTTGTTTGTTTATTATGTGTGGGTGTTTTCCCTGCATGTATGTCTGTACAACTATGTATAGAGGCTAGAGGAGGGTGTCTTATACCCTGGGACCGGTGTTATAGATTGTTGTGAGCTGCCGTATGGGCAGTGGGAATCAAACCCAAGTCCTCTGGAAGAGCAGTCCGTGCTTTTAACCACTGAGCTCTCTCACCTGTCCTGACTTAGCTGGATACAGTGGGGTGTGTTCTCAGGAGGCAAGTAGGAGGAACTGCTTGAGTCTGGGGGTTGAGACCAGCCTGACCAGTACATAGTACACCCTGTATTTAGGACAAGGAAAACCTTGAGTTGACTGGTACAATCTTTTCACATGGTTCATGTATCGGGTTTTGTAATTATAAGTGGGCTTTCTCATCTGCTTCTAACAGTCATTAGAATTTAGAATCTGGCTGGTTTCTTCTTCTTCTTCTTTTTTTTTTTAAGCCTTTCTGATCTGCTTCCAAAGTTACTATGTAGGAGAGAATGACCTTAAACTCAGACTCTTCTCTCCCAAGTGCTAGGTATCCTATGCCATTATAAAATGTTTCCTACTTGGTGACTTAAGTATTTTTTATTTTATTTCAAATAATTCATTTTTGTGGTTTTAAAAGTTACTAATGAAGCAAAGATAATAATATGCTGCATTTTCTCTTTGAGTTCTTTCAACTGAACTTTATTTTCAGAACATTTGGTGTGGCTGGTTTGTGGGTTTTTCCTCTCCCAACTTGGAAATCATTTATACTCTCTTCTGTGAACATTGAGGATTTGGTGCTGTGAACCTTCCTTTTCCAACACTCATAATTTCTACTCACATTCATTTGCCTGTACCTCTTTTATTTGACACACACGCACACACATACCAACCCATCAAACTACTGCTGCTTTTATGATGACTTGGACTTCTTAAAGTCCAAGTCATCATAAAGCATTGATGGTGTGACTTAGCAGTTAGGAGCGCTGGCTGCTCTTATAAAAGACCCAAGTTTGGTTTCCAGAACTCATGTGGTGGCTAACAGCTGTCAGTGTTCCAGTTGATCTCTACAGGCAGAGGGCATGCGTGTGGTCCACAGACAGAAGTGCAGGCCAAACACCCATACGCGTAAAACAAATTTATGTATTCTTTAGTTATATGGAATTATTGTCTTCTCTGTTTCCCAACTTAGCCATTCTGCCCTGTGATGACTCTTGGTTCACTATCTGTGTATGCGTCTATATGAGTGTGTTTTGTAGGTGTTTGTGGTGCATGGTTGTTCAGGGCTGCCTATGCTCAAGGTGGAGTGTGACGTTCCAATCCTCTTCCTCTTAATTGCCTTTGAGACAGTCTCTCTAAACAGACGCTTGCTGTTCTGGTTTGCCTAGGCCAGGCTGGCTGGCTTACCAGCAAACTTACCTTTCTCTCCTAGTCTTCCAGCGATGGGACTTGAGGCACACACAGCCATGGCTGCCATTTTACATGGGTACTGAGAATTTGAATTGAGGGCCTCATGCTTGCAGAGCCAGTGTTACCCACTGAGCCATTTCCCCAGGACCTTTTCCCCCTTAAACTTTTATCCGTATGTATGTGTGGTTGATTGGATGAGTGTAGATGCAGGTTGAACCCAGAGCTTTGAGCATTCTAGGCAAGGGCTTTGTCACTGAGCCACATCCCTAGCCTACATTATCACTTTTTGTTTCTAATTTTTGGTTATTTGTACAGATGTGTGTCTGGGAGCACATACCACTGTGCTTGTGGATATTAGAGGACAGCTTATGTGTATGAAAGGGCATGAGTGAAATGTTTTTAAACACATTTTAGGTGACTTAAATATGATAAAATACTGATCACGTAAATGTAAGTGATAAAAGGCTTCATGGGATTATTCTGTTTTTATTGTGTGCCTATTTTGAGTTCTTTCCCACGTAAATTTTATAATCAATTTGTCAGTGCCCTGAATGTCTTATATCCTGAGCTATAATGCATGGTCTACTTTTAAACAGAAAGTTCTCTTTGGATGTGCAGATAGGAGAATTTTCTTAAAGGAAGAATAAGTTTTCCAGAGGTAATCTTTTTTTCAACAGTTGACAGCACTTGTATAGAGAAGTAAGGAACAGAATGCTCTTTGACGTGGTTATTGCTGTGTGAAGTTTGTTATGCTTATTCATGGTTCTTATAGCCATCACATTTTCTAAGTTTGCTTTGTGAAAAAGGTAGTATTACAGGACATATTACCAACTGTATGCTATTTTCTGTTTATGTTACTTTTTTCTTCCAAGTATACAAAATTGAAGTAATTTTGGGGAAATTAATTAGCATACCTGCATTTATCTGGTTCATATTTAACTCAGAAAAATTCAACGAGATGTGGATGCAGTAATTAATACATGTAGTCCTAGTATTTCAGAGGCAGAGATGAGGATTTCAAAGTTAGGGCCAACCTGGACCACAAAACCCTTTCTCAAAAACAAAACAAACAACCCCCACCCCAACAAAAACTTAAGTTCAAAAGCTACGGAGAGAAACCCTGTCTGGAAAAACCAACAAGAAAAGGGGGATTGGTGGTGCACACACCTTTGATCTCAGCACTTGGGGGGCAGAGGCAGGCAGATCTCTGTGAGTTCAAGGCCAACCTGGTCAGCTTGATCCAGGACAGCCAGCGCTACATAGAGAAACCCTGTCTGGAAAAACAGAATGGGGAGGGGCTAGAGGAGACAATTATTTTTTGTGTGTATGTGTACATGTACCACAGCATGCTCTGACGATCAGGGAATAACAAATATGGAAGCTCCTCCTCTCCATATTTGTGGGTTTTAGGGATTAACCTCAGATTGTAGATCTTGCCCACAACTTGGTTTTATCAGCTGAGCCATCTTGCAGGTCCAGGGTCTTTATTGTTGTTAAGTTCAGTTGTTTATGTGTGTAGTTCTGCAACTTAAAGTAGGTACTTGATTCTTTTTGGTCCTGCTGTGCTGGAGCTCAAACTCTGCCTTCCCCATGTTACACACTCACTCTGCTCCTGAGCAGTGCCTTCAGCTTTTGGATTTCCCGTTGTCCAGGGGCCACATACTGCTACATATGTTTACTGTGGGTAATTTGCTTTTGTTTTGTATTCTTTGAAAGACAAAGTGTAGAACTCAGTATGTAAATTTGGGTAATCTCAAACTCGTCTGCTTTATGAGTTCACCAGTCCCAGCTGTTTAATTTGAGGCAGAATCTTGCAATGTAACCCAGGCTTTGGCTCCCAAGTATTGAGACTACAGGTGTGTACCACCATGTCAGGCCTGCTTGTTGCTAAGTTTTTGTGCATATAGATTATACATTAATCTAACACATTGTAAGTTTTTGGTTTGGCTTTATTTCTAAAATTGTTATAATCTTGTTCGTATTGGTGTTTTACTTCCGTGTATGTCTGTGCACCACTTGTTTGCCCAGTGCCAAACAAGGTCAGAAGTGGGCATTATATCCCACTGGAACTGGTGGTTGTGAGCTGTGGTATGGGTGCTGGGAATTGAACCTAGAGCCTGTGGAAGCAGTCAGTATTTTCAACCCCTGATCCATCTCCATCCTTAACACATTGTTAATGTATGTATTTTGGCTTTTCTCCCCTCTTTCTATCCCAGATCAAACTTGGACACAGATCAGAAGCTAAAGATGGTAAGTATTACGTATAATTTGATCAAACAGAATATGTGTGTGTTCTGATCTGAGGAGATTTTAAAAAATGTCAATGAGCATTAATAATAGTTCTATAGAGTTAGTACAGTGTCTCTGTGGGTCATGACCCCCTAGGGTTGAATGACCCTTTCCCAGGGTCACATGTTAGATGTTTACATTATGATCTACAACAGAAGCAAAGTTACAGTTATGAAGTAGCCACAAAAATAATTTCATTTGGAGTTACCACAGTGTGAGGAACTGTATTAAAGGGTTGCAGCATTAGGAAGGTTGAGAACTATTGCTCTAGAGACTAAAGAATCCAGTTAAAAACAGCATGTAGGGCTGGAGAGATGGCTCCAGTGGTTAAGAGCACTGGCTGCCTGCCCTTCCAGAGGTCCCAGGTTCAATTCCCAGCACCCACGTGGCAGCTTACAACCATCCGTAACTCCAGTTTCAGGGATCTGACACCCTCATACCAGTGCACATAAAATAAAATTGAATAAAGATTATTTAAAGAACAACAACATGTAAGCATTGGGAGGAACATTCAGCTCTTGTAAATGGAGAGCAGTGAGTTGGTTGGGGTCCTCAGTGCTGTTTTTGGTGTTCTAAGTGATTGCTTTTTGGATTTCTGGTGATTGCATCTTCCTAGAACACAAAGTTTCTATGGCGTGAACACAGTGGGAAATTTTTTATTTTTTATTCTCAAGCCTCTTAAGAGTGTCAGGTCTTGTCTAGCCATTAAATAATAGTTATAATAAAAACATCATCATCTGTGCATGCCTGCACTGTGTGTTTTGTTTGTTTTAGTTTTTATAGCCTTGGCTGTCCTGGATTCCACTTTGTAGACCAGACTGGCCTCGGACTCAAAGAAATCTGCCTGTTGTCTGCCTCCCCAAGTTCTGTATTAAGACGCACGCCACTGTGACCAGTTTGTGTTTTGATAGTTATTCTATCATTTGTATTGACAAAGGGTATTCTTATGTTAATTTACTATCACCGCACACAGTCTTCCTCTAATATTTGTAAGTCAAGGGGAAAACCCTAGTATGACATGTCTGTTACATGCTATATATGTTACTGTAATAATTTCTATAGAGATATAAGTATCTTCTTCACCATTTTTCATACACTGTGTTAAGCTACTTTAAAACAATGTAGGGGGAAAAGGAACTTTCTCATAAAAATAGTTAAAATTACTCTCTTGCTTATGTGTGTGTATGAAATGTTTATTTCCTGGAATGACCTTTCCTAAAAAATGTATTTGCGAAAGGTTTGAGATGTCAAAATTTTTGTTTATTTTTTTGCATTCTTTTTCCATAGGTATAAATAGAACAGCCTTAAGAGAGATAAAACTGTTGCAGGAGCTAAGTCATCCGAATATAATTGGTGTGAGTATGATCTACGTTGTTTGCTCTGTGGGGTCCTCCATGCTCTGAATGTGATGCAGATTGATCACAGGCTCAGCGAGATGAATTGAAGTAGACAAACCTTGCAGGTAATTGAAAGTTGATCAGCGTGAAATGTATTTTCTCTCCCACTTTTGCTGTGAGTAGTATCTGTAGCATTATACTTCTAACTGATGAAATGAATCCATGTTGCCATACAGGCTGATTTTGTCGGAGATGATTTGAATCCTAGAGGGCTGTAAGCGGCGCGGTTAAAAGTAGCAGCTTGCATTCCCATTCAGCACCTTTCTTTTTGCCTGTGTGAGGGCTGGATTGTTTTCCTTTACTTGTTGCAGACCAGCCAATTTATGGTGTCTGCAGTAGTGCCCGCCGTGGACAGTCACACACCCAGTGGACGGCAGGCACTGTTTAGAAGAAACTTTTTTTTCTTGCTTTGTTTTGTTTGGAGTCTTTTGTGTGTTGCATAGTGAAGCCTTGAACTCATAGGCTCAGGTTATTCCCCTGCTCCCAAGTAACAGTGTTGTGGAGTATCCACCAGAAAAGACTGTCTGGCTATACACTAATAGAAAGTCTTTGTTGGCTTGCTGCTGACCACACTGTCTGTTTGGGATCCCGTTGTTAGCACCAAGCCTTTCTCAGGGTGAGATTGTAAGCACCAAAACTATGTTCGGGACTGACAGAGTTAACAACTGCCGTTACCCAAAAGCAGAACTATAGAAGCCAAAACACAAGGTTTGTACATTTAGTGACGTTCCCAGAACTATAGACTTTGATGGAATAGGTCTTTGTTTTCATTCAGGCTGGTGGTGCTGTCTACCTGCTGAGTTTTATGGCCTGGATGGCACTGCCATCAGTGGGGGCCTGTTAGTTCTGGGCGCTTGTACAGTTAGTTCCTGTAATTACTATACTGGAACAACAAGAATGTATCACTGTGCCTGGCAGGAGTTTTTCTAAGCATTTTGCTTAGGAATTTTTGGTATTTGTTCCAGACAGGATTTTTCTGTGTAGCCCTGGCCATCCTGGAACTCACTCTTAGACCAGGCTGTCCTCAAATTCACAGAGATACTTGCCTCTGCCTCCTGAGTGCTGGGACTAAAGACGTGTGCCACCATGTCTGACAAGAAATTTTCTTAAATTTAAAAATGTTTTTCTTTTCTCCTATTTTGAGTGTGTGATGTGCATGTGTGTTTCTATGTTTTGTGTATGTGTGTGTGTTTGGAGGCTTGAGGTTCATAAAGAATACCATTCTCCAATACTTGTCCATCTTATTCATTGAGACAGAGTCTCTCAGTCAAACCCAAAGATAGGGGTAGTTTTCCCAAACTTGCTTGTTGTAGGGAGCTGTTGTGTTCACCTTCCAAGGCTGGAAGTACGTACACTTTTCCTGCCTGGTTTCTGAAGTCTGAACTCTGGCCTGGGCCTTACATGGCAAGGGCTTTAACTGCCAAGCCATGGCCTCAGTCCCAGGAATTTTTTTCAACTGGAAATTAAGGTGACATTTTCTTGTCTTTTTTGTTTTGTTTTTCAAAACAGGGTTTCCCTGGGTAGCCCTGGCTGTCCTGGAACTCTCTGTAAACTAAGGTAGCTTCAAACTCAGAGAGCCTCCTGCCTCTGCATCCCACATGCTGGGATTAGAGGCATGCATCACCAATGCCAGGGCTGTGAAATTTTCATTAATTTATTTATTCTAGTTCTCAGGTTTAGGGTAGAGTAGTTTTTAAGATTTTGGTGAGTTTGTTAAATAAGGTTTAATTTTTTTTTTTTTTTTCCTGAGAATACTAATTCCTGTTGGGGGAAAAAAAATGGGGCAAATGTTAAATTTAATAAAATAGTTTCAGATTCACAGGAAATTAACCAGTAGTTTAAAATTTAAATCAGGTAGCGCACATTTGTATTATAATCACCTGAGAGGTGGAGGCAGAGGCAGGGGGATTACGAATTCAGGGCAGTCTGAGCTCCATAGAAAGTTCTAGGTTAGCCTGAGCTACATAGTGATATCTCGTCTCAAAAATTCAAGGATTTGGCGATGTATCTTAGTGGCAGAACACTTGTCTAGCATGCTGAAGGCCATGTGTTTACCAGTGTGGAAAACGCAAACAAATAACTTCTTAAAAATTACTTCACCAACAATAAATTTCAACATTATTAAAGAGAGAATAAAGGCTTGACTTTTTAAAACTTTTTTTTATTTATTTTTTGCTTTGCAGCTCCTTGATGCCTTTGGACATAAATCGAATATTAGTCTTGTCTTTGATTTTATGGAAACTGACCTAGAGGTAAGGTTAGGATTCCTGGTGATTTTTTTTCCTCCACTTAGTGAAAGACAAACCTGTATATATGTTCTGCTTAAAAAAAAAAAAAAAAAAAAAAAAAAAGCTTAATTTTGCAGAAGTCAAATGATGTCTGATTTCTTTACATGTAGTTGTATTTCTAGTATTAGGTATAGAGATTTAGATTTTATTGGCATTTTTAGTAAGTTCTGTTCAGCTTATCGATATTTTTATGTGCATTAAACATGACAGAATTTTGAGTTTGCCTCATATTCTCACAGATTAATGTCATCTTTTAGAAAACCAAGTTTCTTTTTGATTTTCATTAATTGAGTCTCAGAAACTGTGATAGTCCAAGGGTTTAAAACAACTAGATTCTCATACATTGCTGATTTGAGTGCAAATACTGTAGTCACTTTGGAAAACAGTACAGTTTAAAGTTAAAGTCACATTTACTGTCAGATCAAAGGTAAAAGGGATTTTTATGACAGCATCAAATAGTAAAGGATAAATACAGAGACTGGTGGCAGTGCGCTATCTTACAGGTCCTGGCATCGGTACCGCTAATTCACCAGTGTTACATCATGAGTAGTAATACTAGTAACAGTGCAGTCATAATACTGTGATCTAGCAACCACTGTTTGGTATTTATCCAAAAAAACATTGCAAGCACAGAAATCATTTGGTGTGTGGGAGTTCACTGAAACTTGAAACAGCTAAAATGTGTTTCATCTAGTGGATATATGAACAGACAGTTGCACATATAAAATAATACTACTCAGGAATAAAAAGGAACCAATTAGTCTAATAGTAAACTGACTGTGGCAGAGCTTACAGATAATCTCATTCTAGTCAGTCCTCTTTTCCCCTGTTGCCTTCTGTCATGGGCATACGTTTCTACTCTACTTTCCCAGGCCATTCCAAGCCATATAGTCTTAGTCTAATTACCCCCGTAAGGAAATGCTTGCTTCCTTTTGATTTTACCACAGTTACGTGGGTTTCTTTCTTTCTGTTCCCCTACTCCTCTTTGGTTTCTCGAGACAGGGTTTCTCTGGGTAGCCCTGGCTGTCCTGCACTCACTCTGTAGACCAAGTTGGCCTCAAACTCGTAGGTCCACCTGCATTTACCTCCCATGCTCTGGGATTAAATGTGTGCCTCTTCACCCAGTATTACTTGGCCTTCTTGATTGGTATTAGGTTTTGGGTCATAGGTCCTGTGTGCTTTGTCACAGGTCATATGTCTGTTCTTAGGCTGCTACAGTGGAGGTCTCAGGCAGAGGCCAGGTCACTGTTGCTTTTTTAGCTGGGATGAAGTGGTTTTCCAAAGTATGTACTGGTTAGAAGGGGCAAAACCCAGAGATACTCAATACTTGTAAGCTAGAGTTGGAGGGTGCACAGCATTGTTTTCTCCCTGGTTGATGATGCTCTTTTTTAACCACCTCATTCTGGAAATTATTACCATTCCTTCTGAAGGAGAGTTGGCTAATCTCATAGAATTTCTTGTGTATGATATATTCATTCAAAGTCTGTATTTTTTTTTTTTTGTTAGAGTTAGTTTGGAATAATAAGACATGCCTGTATGTTGCCTATCTACGTTATAGGTCATAATAAAGGATAATAGTCTCGTGTTGACACCATCCCACATTAAAGCTTACATCTTGATGACTCTTCAGGGATTAGAATATTTGCATCAGCATTGGATTCTACACAGGGTAAGAATTTAAGTAATGATCAGTTTATCTCTAAGGAGGTCTTACTTTATATTCCAGGATGGAATTTGCCCAGGTTGCCCTCAAATTCATGATTTTTCTGTGTTTGACTCCTGGAAGCTGGGATTGTAGGTGTGTTTCACCACACCTGACTTTTAGAGTTTCTGCCTAAGTTTAATGAAACATTTTTGTCATTGGTTAATTGGATCTTTATCTTGTGTATTTTGAGTGCATGTGTGTGTATTTGTGGGTGCAGCTGCATGGCTGTAGGTGGGCATGTGCCCCAGTGTTTATGTGGAGTCAGATACAGCTCTCAGGAGTCAGTTCTCTCCTGCTCCTTTGTGGGCTCTGAGAATCAGCGGTCATTAAGTTTACTGCAAATGGCTCTACCCCCTGAGCAACCTTGCCTGCTCAGTTAGAGGTTTTTGTTTCGAGAATAGTGCCTTCCCCTGTGGCCCGGCTGGCTGTGTACTCATGATCTTTGTTTATGTTTCCTAAGTGCTGGGGTTACCAGTGTGTGCCATCATGCCCAGTTTGGTGTCTTGTTTTTTAAGGTTTTTGTTTTTGCTTTTCCCTTTGGTTTTTCGAGACAGTCTCTCTGGCTGTCTTTCTGTTCCTGGCTGTCCTGGAACTGATTCTGCAGAGGCTGGCTCTGTCTCTTGAGGGGGGATTAAGCATGCGATGCACCCAGCTTTGTTTTCTAAGTTTAATAGTTAGGCACTGACACTGAAGTGGGTGTGTGCCCAACATATATGAAGCCTCAGTACCACATTTGCTACATAAACCTGTAATCCCAGCACTCCCGGTTAGACGCAGAAGCATCATAAGTTCAAGGTTGTTCTTTTTGACTACATAGTGAATTCAAAGCCAGCCTTGGCTGCTGAATAAAGTAAACTGTCTCATGTGTTTTATTTTTTCTAATCCTGCTTAACTTTGTTTGTTTTGATGACTGTTTGATACAGGATCTGAAACCAAACAACTTGTTGTTAGATGAGGGTGGAGTTCTGAAACTGGCAGATTTTGGCTTGGCCAAATCATTTGGGAGCCCCAACAGGGCTTACACACATCAAGTTGTGACCAGGTAAGAATGCCTTAAATGACTAAGAGTCTGTGGGTATTAGGTTATTTATTGCAAATGAGCATCAGCTAGCTTCTCTGAAATACCTTTGCACCTCAGGAGTGAGTCGCTGTTGGTGTCTTCTCATAATACAGCATGTCTGTTGCCACAGTTAGAAATGCACACAGTTCTTTCAGACAGAATCTGACTCGGTCCTGACATATTTTTGCTGAGCTATTGAGTCTCCCAGTAACTTTTTTTTTTTTTTTTTAAACTAAAAAAATTATTGTAAGCAAATCCAGGAATGATGGTGAGCTCCTTTAATCCCAGCACAGAGGCAGGAAGGTTCCTGAGTGGGAGGCCAACCTAGGCTACAGAGTTCCAGAATATCCAGGACTACACAGAGAAACCCTGTCTTGGAAAAACAAATATATAATCTTTCATTCTCACAGTGCTTTACATCTAAGCTATATACACAGTAAGTTTTGGGAATAATTCATTCTGCTTTTACATTTTACTTAGATAAGCTACTACTTCAGTGGCCTTATATTTCAACTTTATTAATTGGCCCTGTGTTTATTACATTATCAATGCTGATCCTATGGATGCAAATTCTCTATACAAAATATTTGCATTTTATATTATAAGAATTGTGGCTTTCCGGAAGATGTGGCAGCTCATGCCTGTAATCCCAGCACTCCGGGAGGCAGTGGCAGGCAGATCTCTGAGTTCGAGGCCAGCCTGGTGTACAAAGCAAGTTCAGGACAGCCAAGGCTACACAGAGAAACCCTGTCTTGAAAAACTAAAACAAAAATAAATAATTGTGGTCTTTGTTCATATTTTAGATGTGTCCACACAGGAAAAAAAATCACATTAAATGAGGACTGATAATTCTTGTCATGGGGGCACTGGTTTTGTTGTTTGTTGTTTGTTTGTTTTTTCTTTTGAAACAGGGTCTCATAGAACCTAGGCTGGCCCCAAACTCTGTATTTCTAAGGATGACTTTGACCTCTGCATCCACTTCTACACACTGTTGGAATGCTATCACTACATCTGGCCGGCATTTGTTGGTTCTGGGTGTTTGTGTGGTTTTGAGACAGGGCTTCTCTGTGTATCCCTGGTTGTCATAGAACTCAGTCTGTACACCAGCTGGCCTCAATCTCAAAGATCTCTCTGCCTCTGCCCCCTGAGTGCTGGGACTAAAGTTATGCACCACCAGGACTGGCCTGCATTTATTAACTCTTAAGATTTTCAAAAATCTGAGAAAATATCCAGATTCTCCTATAAATCATGTTGTCACCTTTTTCCAAATAAATTTTATGAGTATCAGTTACCTGAATCCTGGGTAAGAGGTGGTGGATCCAGTACTGGGAAGATTTGACAGTTGGATTACCAGAGTGTATATTGTTGACAAAACTAGATTAGTAGGGATAGAAACCCTGATTTTAAAGGTTTAGGGGCTCTTTTTTGTGCCATCATATCCTTTGGCTGTGTCAAGATGAAGCTGAATATCTCCTTCCTACCCACCTGTTGTCAGAAAGTCATTGAAGTGGATGAGTGAAAACATCACACTTTCTGTGGCCACAGAAGTAGCTGTTGACACTCTGGGTGAAGAGTGGAAGGGCTGTGTGTTCAGAATCAGGGATGGGAACAACACGCACGGTTCTTCCTGAAGCGAGGTGTCTTGACCCGTGGCAGAGTGCACCTGCTCTTTACTAAGGGGCACTCTTACAGCCTAAGGGGGACTGGGAGAGGAAGGGAGGGACTGTTTGAAGTTGCATTGTCAATGCCAATCTGAGCATTCTCAACTTGGGGGGTTGGTTTGGGGAGCAGGACATTCCTGGGCTTGAAGATGTTACTGTGCCGCTGAAGTTGGAGCCCAAAAGAGAATCTGAAAGCTTTTCAGTGTCTCTAAAGGAGGTGATGTCTGCCAGTGTAAACAAAAAAGGTAAAAAGCCAGGACGAAGCAAGGGCCCAAGATTCGGTGTCTAGTTCCTCCATGTGTGGTACGGCACATACACCCACATACTGCTCTGAGGAAACAACATGTTATGGAAAACCAGAGGTGGCTGCAGAATAAGCTGAGCTTTTGGCCAAGGAGTGAAGGAAGTCAAACACAGCAGGAACAGATTGCCAGGAGACGTGGGCTGTCTTTACTGAGAGTGTCTGAGAGTCTACGTCTAAGTCTGAGTTCAGTCACAGATCTTCAGTTATAACTGATAAATGATAAAACATGAATAAAAAGTTTATGGGCCAGACATGGTGTCACACGTAAAACACCAGCACATGGAATGCAGAGGCAGGAAGACTGAGGTTTCAAGGTGGGCCTTACCTATGGTAATCTTCAGACCAACCTGGGCTGCATAAGACCCTGTATCCAAAAACAAAAAACACTAAAAATAAGAAATGTAGGGAGGAATGAGAGAAGGGGAACTGGACACAAGTGGATTATTAAGAAATGACAAATCAGCATGTTAATGGGAAAAGTCTAGTAGAAAGCAGAGAGTTTATGATGGGGAGAATTTTAGGAACAGTATTTTTTGAGAACTGGTAAGGTAGGGGCTGTAGAACTGAAAGTGGGTGGTTGGATCTGAAACCATGCAAGGATGGTTCATCTTTTAAAAATTAGCCTTGCTGGCCATGGTGCTGAGCTCCTAATTGAATCCCAGCACTTGGGAGTCAGAGACCGGCAGATCTCTGAGTTTGAGGCCAGCCTGGTCTGTAGAGCAAGGTCCTGGACAGCTAAGGCTAGTCAAGACAGAGAAACCCTGTCTTGAAAAGCCAAAATAAATAAACGAATAAATAAATGAACAACTATTGAAAAGAATGGGTTCTCATATGACATTTCTTTTTGTTTTTAGATGGTACCGGGCCCCTGAGTTACTGTTTGGAGCTAGGATGTATGGTGTGGGTGTGGACATGTGGGCTGTGGGCTGTATATTAGCAGAATTGCTTCTAAGGGTAAGTTCTAAATCCATATACACCCTTAAGTATTGTTGATATAGTTCTTGTAATTTTCTAGGAATTATCTTTTCATCATAATCCCTGCAGCAAAAATTGTCAAGCAAAATCAGTTTGTTAACTAACAGTTCCAGCAAGTATGAAGTACAATCTTGGCATGTGGGTGATTGAGGCAGGAGGATCACTGTGAGTTCAAGACTATACTGGGTTACATAGTAAAAGTGTCTCACCAAAAAAAAAAAAAAAAAAAAAACCTCAGGTACTTGGGAGGAAGAAGCAGAAAAATTAAGAGTCAGAGGCCAGTTGTATGGTTGTTCTCACATTGCTATGATGAGATAGCTAACTAAGCATAGTAGGGAGGGGTGGGTTTCTTTCGGCTCACAGCCTGAGAGTATAGTTCAGCTCGAGGTGAGGCTCTTGGTCACATCCCATCTGCAGTCAAGATGCAGAGCGGTGAATGCTGGTACTCAGCTCCCTTCTGAGCCAGGATCTCAGCCCTTATAATGGAGCCGCCTACAGTCTGGGGTATCTTCCCTCTTTAAGTAACAGTTTACAAACTCCCTACCAGTCATGCTCAGAGGTTTGTTTTCTTGGTGGTTCTAAATTCCATCAGGCTCACAGGAAGTTGGTAAGGTCCTAACTTTGTTGATAAATGCTCTCTGCATGAGCACAAGACATCTCTGAGTTCTTTCTACTAGAGCTTGAACCAACTCTGGTCCAGTTAGGAACAAGCCACATGTCATTTTGTTCGGGAACATTCAGGAATAATGCAGGGTGTGATGCTTGTAATGCCAGCATGTGGGAGGCTGAGGCAGGGACAGTCAGCTTGAGTTTGAAGTTTGCCTGTGTCCCAGAGTGGACCGTTCTACACAATCCCCACCCACTCTCCCTGCTCACAGCTGACATGCCCTGGGACTAATGGGGATTTGCCAGGAAGTGTCTCAGAGTAGGCAGCAGTCACTATTGCTCACCACTTGAGGTCATCCGAAGAATTCCAGGGCTGAAATCTAGACTCTTTTGAAGGGGACGGTGAGGGCTGGATGGCACGTAGTACACGGTGCCTCACAGCCACCTGTAACTCCGCTTACAGGGAATTTGATGCCCTCCTCTAGTGTCCGAGGGTACCTGGCACGAACGTGGTGCACATGCATACATGTGAGCAATTACACATACATGTGAAATAATGAGATGAATTTCTAAAAACCTGTTTGGAATCTGTTGGAAACATGCTTGAGGGTGCTGAGGGAAGGGCTTCAGAAAGTCTGTCTGGATACACCTGCTAGAGCTTGCCCACATCTGCTTTTTCCCAGAGGGCAGGAGGTGAGTTCAGAACTGAAAAGCTGTAAGATGATAAAGGAAATCAGTGCTTTTAACAGGTGTTAAAGCTGTTTTAAGCTCTTTTCAGCTCTGTGGGAGTAAGTTTTTGTTACAGAGTTTAGGTTTTTGTGTTTTTTTGTTTTGTTTTTTAATTACAAAGTTTGTAGCATTATTTATGCAACCACTCTCACTAACAACCTTGAAATGTCTATTTCTTACTTCTTACTTTCAGGTTCCTTTTTTGCCTGGGGATTCAGACCTTGATCAGCTAACAAGAATATTTGAGACTTTGGGTACACCAACTGAAGAGCAGTGGCCTGTAAGCCTTTATGCATTCTCTTTGAAATAAGTTACAATCGTATAAAGTTCTGAATGCAGCCGTATGGCTATTGAAGAAATTTATTTATTTTGCAGTGCTAGAGAAAAAACCAAGACCTTTCCCATGCTGGACAAGTGCTCTGCCACTGAACTAATTTTAAAAGTGTGGTGGTGCGTACTTTTAACTGGGAGGCAGGAAGATCTCTGGATTTGAGGCCAGCCTGGTTAACATAGTGAGTCCAGACCAACCTGAGCTGTGTGATGAGCTCCTCACACACACACACACACACACACACACACACACACACACACACAAGAATGAATGAATGAAATTGTCCTTGTTATAAAACTGCAAATGACAAAAAAAGGAAATATACAAAGGCAAACATCCAAATTGTGATGATAACCCACCATCTTATGTATATATGGTTCTTCCCCCACTACAGAAGTCTGTTCCAGGTTAACCACGGCCTTCAGTTTGATGTAAAGCTGTTTTATCAGTGTGCACTTAACAAACATATGTAATAGAGCTGCATTTTCTCTCATTTATTCTTTAAGAAAAAATGAGGGGCTGGGATGTAACTCGGTGGAGGCGTGTGTTGACTGTTAGCATGCTCAAGCCCTGGCTCACTAAGAGCACTGAAAGAAACAATAGGAAGATTGCTTTTTAAGCTTTTGTTTTTCCACCAACCTCAGTACTTTTGTGTGGTTTGGTTTTGGTGTTTTTCAAGACACCACCGCCTGGTGCTTTTTTTGTTTATTTGTTTTCCATGCCTAGCCTAAGCTGTCCTTTTGCCTTGGTGCGTCTATATGCTGTAGCACCGTTTTGTTGAAAAGACTTGAGAGAATCCTCTATGCCTTTTCCAAACTGCTTAGGTTCTCTGGGTCCCCTGTGTTCTTCATTAATCCCTGTCTGTCCCTCCCTCAGTACCACACAGTGTGAACTACAGTTGGTCTGTTAGGTCTGAAAATAGGTACATAAAACACTTAATACTTTTCTTTTTCAAAATTGTTTCAGTTAGCTCTTTACCTCTCTGTATAAGATTCAGAAAATTTTGTTTAAATGTGTAATATGTCAAAATTTTAATCCTGTTTCCTGGAGAATCAGTTCTTTCCTGTGTTGAATCTTTCATGCCATGAACCTATTTCTCATATTTTATGTAGATGCTTATTTCATCAGCATTTTATAGCTTTCAGTATATGAGCCTGTACACATTTTGTTAGATTTCTCAACTAAATATTTCTCTTTTGGGCATAATTATATTGTCTTTTCTGTTCTGGTGTTCATATATTTGTTGCTAGTATGTGGAACAATGATTTTAAAATATATTTATGTTATGTCTTAGAGCTTTTACATATTACCAGTTCTAATTTGTTTAAATAGTTTTCTTAGGATTTTCTACACAGACTGTCTATCAGATCACATTTTATTTATTTATTCCATTTTTATGTCTTTGAATCCTTTGCTCACATTTGAATTATCATTTTTTTCAGGACATGTGCAGCCTCCCAGATTATGTGACGTTCAAGAGCTTCCCTGGGATCCCCCTGCAGCACATCTTCATTGCAGCCGGAGATGACTTGCTTGATCTTATCCAGGGCTTGTTCTTATTTAACCCGTGCACCAGAATTACAGCCTCACAGGTAGTAATATTAGGAAACCTAAGGCTCATCTTTTTAGTCTCGTTAATGAGACAAGACTCAAATTTCCAAGATTTCTTAATATCCCATAAATACCAGGAAGATATGTGTATCTTTTCTATATATATTTGTGTCCTTTCCCCAAGCTATAGACACTGTCCAGGCTGATGCTAAATTTTATTACACATACACATAAGAGTTTACACTTGTTTAGGGGTGTGTGTGTTTTCACTCTGACTGCTATATTTCAGGCAAATATTTTCTTTTCATAGCTTAATTTATGTATATGGATGTTTTGCTTGTATATATGTCTCTATACCGTGTATATGCAGTGTCCATAGAGGCCAAAAGAGGGCCTCTATGGAGCTGGAGTTACAGAAGGTTGAATCATTACGTAGGTGCTGGAAACCAAACCCAGGTCCTCTGGACGAACAGCCATTGCTCTTAACTGCTGAGCCCTCTCTCCAGCCCACTTCATTTAAGCTCTTTATTTTTGAGGCAGGACCTTTTATAGCCCAAGCTGGCCTTGAATTCAGTATGTAGTTGAGAATGGCATCTTCTGTCTGTAATGCGCTGGCTGTTCTAGAACTTGCTGTGTAGACTGTCGTGGATATTAATATTATTGATTTATCTAGAGTTAAACAGTGGTTATTCCTAAACCAGCTGTATACCCAAATCACCACACAGAGACTGGGATTTATTTAATTAACCTAGAGCACAATGCTGGGCAATGATTACTCCATCCTAAACCTCTAAGCCCATATAGTTTCCTACCATTCAGATTTCACCCATTATACTTGCTTTTAGTCATATCTTAGGTCTGGTTCATCTCTCCACATGGTTCCCAGTCCTGTCCTGCCGACCTCTCTGTCCTCCCTCTACTCGCTTCCTTCTTCTCCCCTCTGGACCAGGATGTCTCACCCTAACCTCTCCATTGCTCAGCACTGGGGCTGGTTGTTTTTATTGGCAATACAGAGAACAAATGGTAGCATGTTTACACATACTTGAGACAATGCAATGTCTGGATTGAAAGCAGACTGGTAGAGAATCAGCATTTGAATGAACCGGGGTACATTCCACAAGAATATTATACCAACAGTAGACCAAGCTGGACTCAAACCTGCCTGCCTCTGTCTCCTGACTGCTGGGGTTAAAGGTGTGTACCGCCACCACGAAGCTCTACCCCCACCCTCCTCTCGTGTCCCCCAGTTTGTCTGTTTTGTTTTTTGTGTTTTGGATTTTTGTTTGCTTGTTTGTTGTTTTGAGACAGGATTTCTCCATGTAATCCTTGGCTATCCTAGAACCACTCTATAGACCAGGCTGGCCTCCTGCCTCTGTCTTCTGAGTACTAAGATTAAGGGCGTGTGTTACCGATGCCAGGCTTTTTTAGTTGTTGTTGAGAGAGGGTATGAAAATGGGTGGGTACAGAGAGCTGGGAGAAGTTGGGGAAGGAAAAGAATATGATCAAAATATACTTCAAAAAATTTTATAAATAAAAATGCCCTGATCTTCTTGATTCTTAGAGAAATATTCTAGAGTAAATAAACTACTGTGGCTGTTGACAGTACTAGTATATTATAAACAAGTAGTAGTTGACAAACTTGTCATTTAAAAGGAAACCACTTTAAATTGTAAATTCTGGAACATTATACTCTAGTGGTTAATAGGAACCTTGAGTAGGCCCAAATGAGTTTGCACCCATTTGCATTGGGTTATTGTATTTGTGACTCATTGGTTCCGCAGGCTTTGTGGTTGTAGAATTATTAGAAGGGAGTGTGCCCCATCCTGCTAGCACCCCCAAGTAACATCATCGGCCCGTTACAGGATAGTGGATATTTATTTGTGTAATTGTTGATGTTAATTCTTTGTTTGGGGCCATAGTATTATTTACATACTATTTTAAATGCTGTCAACAATTTGGGGTTAGATTTTCCTCCGTATAGTACAGGCATTTAAAGCGTTACTTTTGAGTGGTCGTGCATGCCTATAATCCTAGAACTCAGAAATAAGCAGTTGGATGGTGACTAGTGAGAGGCCAGCCTGACAAACTTGGCAAGTTACAAACTAGCCGGAGTTACCCAGTTAGACTTTGTCTCAAAATAGAAACAAAAGAATAAAACCTTACTTTCAGGGGGCTAGAGAGATGGCTCAGCAGGTAAGAGCACTGGCTGCTCTTCCAGAGGACCCAGGTTCAATTCTCGGCACCCACATGGCAGCTCACAACTCTCTTTAACTCCTGTTCCAGAGGCTCTGACACCTTTACACAGACATACTTGCAGTCAAACACCAGTGTACATAAAGTAAAATAAATAATTTAAAAAATATATTCATTAAAAAAAAAAACCTTACTTTGAGTTTCTTTTCTTTGAAAAGGCGTTGAAGACTAAGTACTTCAGTAATCGTCCAGGGCCAACACCCGGATGCCAGCTTCCAAGACCAAACTGTCCAGTGGAAACATTAAAGGAACAGTCAAATCCAACCATGGCTACAAAACGGAAAAGAACAGAGGCCTTAGAACAAGGTAAAGTTCCCCACTGATTAAAAAAAAGAACAGAAAAATTAAGTGACATCAAAAAGCTCTAAACAGCTCATGTATAGCTTACAACTGGAAGTCAGTTAAGAAAATGGAGCTGCAGAGCTCCCTATGAAGTAGAATGTGCTCCTTTCTCTCAGCTGAGCACACTTCTGGCACTTTTGAGTTATACCTGAGAGTTCTAAGAGCTGTCCATATGTACCTTCTGTTTATTTTTTTTTCCTTTTTTTTTTTTTTTTTTTTTCTGTGTATGTATGCCATATGTGCATGGAGGCCAGAGGAAGGCTTCTGATCCCTTGGGGCTGGTGTTGCAGGTGGCTGTCAGATACTGGACATGCATACCAGAAACCAAACCAGGCTTCTCTGGAAGAGCAGGAGGAAGTCCTCCTAACCATCGAGCAACTTTCTGGCCCTCCCTCCTGTTTTTTTTCTCCCCCTTTTCACTGTGCATCCCTGACAAGCCTGGAGCTCACTGTTGAGATGAGTCTGGCCTTGAACTTACAGGATCCACCTGCCTCAGCCTCTGGAGTGCTAAGTTTAAACATCTTCAGCACACCCAGCTTCAACAGTTTTTGTTTTTAACTTTACTATCTTTAATCTTTTTATTAGTTTTATGTGTGTGGGTATTTTATTTGCATGTATGTCTGTGTACCACATGTGTGCAGTGTCCGTGAAGGCCGGAAGAGGGCATCAGCTTCCTGGGACTGGAGTTACAGATGCTTTGTGGTGCTGTGGTTGTTGGCAGTTGAACCCAGGTCTCCTGGGAGAGCAGCGAAGTGCTCCTAACTGCTAAGTCAGTTCTCCAGCCCTCTGTCCAACAGCTCTTAAGAGTACTGTGTTGATGGTGAACAAGTACCTGCAAGTTAAATCATGGCATTGGAATGCAGTGAGTGAAAACGTTTTTGTTTTGCTTTCAGGAATATTGCCCAAGAAGCTAATTTTTTAGTTGCAGCAAACAATGGACAGTGTTTCACTCCTGAAAGGAATAATACAAAAGGCAAATAATGGAAAAAAATAGGGAACATTAAATGCTGTAGAAGAGAACTTGTAAATATTTTACACATGTAAAATATGTAAAACTATGGCTTATTTTTATTAAATGTATTTTAAAATAAAATATTTGTGATTTGTGAGTAGAGCACAAGCATAAGTTCCGTTCTCTGTAATGTAAATAACAGCGCACTAACATGTAATTAATGTAACTGACAGCGCACTAACATGCAATTACTGGGTACTCTGCAGCTCTGGATGGTAGACCATCTTAGGATCTTTAGGAATCGTGTTTAAAACAGAAAAATGCTGTTAGCGGGTTTGCAGATACTTAACCCCACTATCCAGCTTCATTAGTCTTGAAAAGACAAAACTGCCCCCCCCCTTACTACGCCTCACCTTGAACTTACTGTATCTTCCTGCCTTCTCCCCTGAGGTGCTTGGGTTGTTCCAACATGCACCACCAGGACTAGCCCGTAAGTACTTTTCATCCCGCATCTTTTTACCCATCCCAAGGAAACCACAAGGGAAACTTGTGTTTGTCTTTCTGTGGTTTTATACTGGTGTCTTCAAAGACCTCTGTCTCACCTTATGGTAGCCCATCCTTTGATCCTAGTGCATAAAGGCAAGTGAGAGTTTGGGGCCAGCCTGGTCTACATACTGAGCTCCAAGTGAGCCAGGGTTACATAGTGAGCCCTGTCTCAAAAAGCAGTAATAAACAAAACAAAAACCTCTATCTCATATTATTGGTGTTTTTTAATTTAGAAACTCTCTTTCCATATTAATAGATACGAATCGAGTTGATTTAATTACCATATAATAATGTATTGTGTAAATGATGCTATTTACCTGTGCTTTAATTATGGGTCATTATTTTTCTATTGCTGTATAAAATTTATCATAAAAAAAATAGCAGGAATTGCCAGGCATAGTGGTGTCTTATCCCTTTAGTCCCAGGATTTGGGAGGCAGAGCCAGGTGCGCTCTATGAATTTGAGGCCAGGAGAGTCTATAGTCCAGGGCAACAAAGTGAGAACCTTTCTCAAGAAAAAGAACACAAATTGGGGTGGAGCTTAGTGGTAGAACATTTTCCCAGCATATGTGAGCCCTTGATTTCGGTACCTGGCATTGTAAAATAAATAACACAAACGTCTTGGGTAATTGTTCTTAGGTGAGACAACTAGCTAGCATGGCCCAACTTCCTTAAGAGTTTCAAACATGGCTAAAAAAGGTGTTGATCATATGAACTTTTTTTTTAAAGTTATTACTATTATGTGCATGTCTGTTTTGTCTACATGTATATTCTGTGTAACATGTGCATTCGGTGCTCATGGAGGCCAGAAAAATGTCATTGGATCCTTTGGAACTGGAATTATGGATGGTTGTAATCCACCATGAGGGTGCTGGAAATCCAATCCAGGTACTCTGGAAGAACAGCCACTGCCTCATTACTAAGTCATCTCTCCAGCCACACAAACTTTCCACACAAAAAGAGAGCAAAACCTCACTCTAGTTCTGCATCCTCCTTGAGTCCCATGGGGGTTCAAAAGTTAAAATTGATAAAAAATTCATAGAGGAAAAACTGTACAAGTTTATTTAATACAAGTTTACATGGGGCCAGGTTTGGCTACTCATGCTTATAATCCCATACTTGTCAGGCTGAGGCTGGCCTCTAATTCAAGGCCAGCCTAACTACAAACAGTTCAGTGCCAGTATACCCTCAAAGCAAGCCCCACCCATCTCAAAAAGGAAAACAAAATAACATTTTTGGCATCGGAGCCTCACAAAGACATAGAGAACCAGTTAAGAGTCAGCTGCTTACCTGGGCATTGTGACACGTGCCTGTAATGGGAGGCAGAGGCAGGTGGGTCTCTGAGTTTGTGCCAGTCTGATCTACAAAGTGAGTCCAGGACAGCCAAGACTACACAGAGAAACCCTGTTTGGGGAAAAAAAAAATCCAAACCAAAAAATAGAAGAGTGAGCAACTTAGTTGGCGTGCTAGGCAGAGGCAAGGATATCTCTGAGTTTGAGGACATCCTAGTCTAAATAGCTAGTTCTCAGGCAGCAAGGGGTACATTGTGAGACCCTGTCTCAAAAATAATGCCAGCTGCTTATTTTATATCAGAAAAGAATAGTAATGAAATAGTGTAAGGCAGAATGGCTTGATCCAGAGTTAGCTTGAAAGGGAAACATCTAGGAAAATAAGGATTAACAAAACTGGTTATGCAAGATTCATCAGCTCTCTCATCTGTGATGCTAAAGATGTATCTTTTTTTTAATCTCTTATTTAAAAAAATATGTTGATGGGTGCTTTGCCTGCTTGTGTGTCTGCATCAGGTGTGCTCTGTGGAGGCAGAAGAGGGTGTATACTCTGAAACTGGAGCTACCTAGCTGTGCTCTGCTGTGTGGGTTCTAAGCAAACCTGGGGCATCTGGAAGAGCCACAGGCCTTAGCCACTGAGTCATCTCTCCACCTCGCATGTCTTTGAAGAAGCACACAGAGATCGGAGTGCTCTTTTACCTTTGGTGTGTCTGGTGGGTGTGCGTATGTGCACCCATGCCACGGCACATGTATAGAGGTCGATGGACAGCCTCCTCTTTGCCCACCACCATTTTTAAGGCAGTATCTCAAGCCACTCTGTCTGCCCAGGCTTGCTGGCCTGCAAGCTTTTGGTCACTGTTTTCTCTGTGCTTGAGTTTTTTGTTTACTCCCTACGTACCCCAGGCAGGATATCTCAGGCTGACCTTGAACTCACCCTCGTCCCTCAGCACCCAGAGTATTTAGGACAACAGGCTCGCTCCATCCCTCTAACCCTTGGTTTTAAAAGGTAGCTCACGTCTTCTATTGTGAGGCTCACTATCTACAAGTTAGCATTAAATGCTGTATCCTTGTGCCTCAAGTCTGGTTTTCTCGTGGGCTACTGCTGGGGAGTCAGAAACAATGTCTGCCCTTTCCTACAGTCCAAAGGACAAACCAGAGTGAGACTCCAGAGTTCTCTGAAAAGCGGTGGGTAAGGGGTCAGACGCAGGAGCATGGGTACCCTTAAAGTAGCCAGAGCAGAAAGCCTGAACCCAGCATGGATGTGACTCCCCTAGGCCCCTACCTAAATACTCTAGCCCATTCCATCGGCCCCCAAGACCACAAGCAATGAGGACAGAATTGCATATAGGGACTGGTGGCTGGATACTGGAGCATCACACGGCCCTCCCCAGTTCCTCCAAGAGTCAAACCCAGCTGGACTCCTCGAGATGTCAGTTTGGCATAGAGGATAGGCTTGACCAGCAGCTCCTAAGAGAGAGACTCAGTATAAGGAAATAAAAGAAGGGTCTGCAGGCTGGGCACAGGACAGGTGTGCTTGCTGCTCTTCAAGAGGACTGGAGTTCAGTTCCCAGCACTGACACGGGGCAGCTCACAACTACCACTAACTCCAGCTCCAGGGAATCTGTTGCCCTCTTCTGGCCTCCTCAGGGACCTGCACTCACATGTGCACACAAACACACATAAAATACACCTTTGATATTTTTGAGACAAGGTTTCACTATGTAAACCTAGATGGCCTGAACTTGCGATGAGAGACCTGCCTGCTTCTGCTTCCGCCAGAGCCCTGGGATTAGAGGTGTGCACCACCGTGCAAAGCCAAAATGAATCTTTCCAAAGAAAGAAAGGTACATGACTAGTTAGGTGTGCGACTTTACTCTCACTTTTAAAATCTCTTCAGACCAGTTTCAGGACTGCATATGCAGTTTATCATCTAACATGCATACTTAATATGTAGGTCATAGAGTCTGTGCATTCTGGGTTAGTGTTGATACTGTTTTTGATGTGTTACCTCCCACACCAGATAGAGAATTATGTCTTCAAACAGTCTGGAAAAAAAAAAAGTGATTTTTTTTTTTTTTTTTTTAATCACCTTGGCATTCCTGTTCCATGATTAAATTTTACAGCACGTGAATACATCTTGCCCATATTGAGGGCTTCAAGAAACCCTGTCTCAAACTAAAAAAAAAACATCTATTCCTTTAATAGCCACTCAGATGCCAAGTTGCCCAACTCATGTGTTTGTGCGTTTTCAGGCATGGTTGCCCTGTGTGGCCTAGGCTTTCCTGTCCCCCGTGAGCCTCCTGCCTCCTGTTTCCTATGAGCTGTGCCATGCCACGGGTGGATGCGCCCTTCCTGGCTTCTTCCTTGCTGTGTTCTGGGGATTATTACAGCATACAAGTGCATAGGCCGTGGTATGGTTGTGCTAAACCTCTGTTTTTAACTTTCTGTTACACTTCCCTGTGAGTATGTACACGGGCATGCACACCTACAGAATGGGTGGTCGGAGGACAGCTTATAGGCATCCTGTAGGGCAGGAGGCCCAAACTCAGGTAGTCGCTCGACAGCACCTTCTCCTGCCAAGCCCGCTCACTGCAAGCAGCTTTTAGTACCTGTTGGGTTGAAACAAGGTCTCTACCATATATAGCCCACGGTGGCCTCAAACTCTGCCTCCCAAGAGGGGTTACAGGCATGCGCTACCACGCCAGGCTACCAATGGGCTTTTATATTGCTTAGAGCCTTGATGACGCTGAAGATACCTGTACTAGCCTTAACACATCTGTGTGCAGTTCCTGCCTGTGTGTGGGATAAGATCCTAGCTGGATCAGATGCGAGCTTTGCAGTTTTTAGCCTTAAAAAAAAAAAACAAAAAACCTCCAAACTATAAAACACATATGCCACTTTTGTTTAGAGCCATTTTTCTTTGATTTGTAGAATTTTTCTAATAGAAAAATGTAATGCTCAGTCAGTATCCCTCTTTCCTTTATGCCCTTCACGCTGTGTCACTTCCTATCAGAGAAATTGAGTGGGTCATCATAGTGACTTTGCTTTGTGCTTTACACGTGTGCGTGTTATGTTATTACATGAATGTCTTCCCTAATAAAAACCACCTTGCTTACTGTGGAGCTCATCCTTGGAGGTCTGTACAAGTGTGTCTCATTATTTCTTACCGCTTCATAGGTGTCATGGATGTGCCTTACTGGTCTGTTCTCCTATGGGCAGGCAGAGATGTAAGCTCCTCCCATGTTTTCACTTTTGCAAACAGTAGCCTGGCCTTTGTGGGACTATTTTTTTTTTCTTTTCGGTTTTTCAAGAAAGGGTTTCTCTGTGTAGCCTTGTCTGTCCTGGTCTCACTTTGTAGACCAGGCTGACCTTGAACTCCAGAGATCTGCCTGCCTTTGCCTCCCGGAGTGCTGGGGTTCAGGCATGTGCCACTGCACCCAGTGGGATTTTTACTGAATAACTCCAAAAAGTGAGTTCCAAATAAGCACTTCTTTCTCTGTGAAGTAGAGTCTAACAGGTTTTTGCTTGGTTGGTTTTGTTTTTTTGAGACAGGGCTTTTCTGTGTATCCCTGGCTGTTCTGAAACTCACTCTGGAAACCAGCCTGGCCTTGATCAAAGGCATGCACCACCACTGCCTGGCATGCTAATAGTTCTTAAGCAAGATTTAGCAAGTCCTTCTGAATGGAAGTTTTTGTTGCTGCTGCTGTTATTGTTTTTTGGATTTTCCTTTGCTTGCTTTGTGATAGAGACATACAGTATAGCCCAGGCTATTCTTGACAATCTTGCCTCAGTGTCAGAAGAGCTGGGGTCATAGGTATTGAGTCACCTCAGTTTTTTCTTCCCTAAGTAGTTCTTTTCCCATGATTGCACACTGCTGGTTCAAAGTCATGTTGTGATTCTTTACTTTTCCTTTAATTGTCTAACATGGCTACCAGTGACTTCAAGTAAGATTACAGTGTCCATAACCTAAATGGAACAGTGAAAACATCATAGTCAGTCTAGACATCTAGACTTCATCGGGTAAGCTGTCCACTGGAGTGGCCATGGCAGTTAAACTATTCTCTTAAAAAGTCAATGTTTCATCATGAAGAATTACAAGGGACATGTTCTGAGAAATACAGTTATGGGAGTGTGTCATTATACAAGCAGTGGACTGTAGTTCAGGCTTCACTAGGCCACTTCCGCTAATGAGACTACTGTATATATAGCATATAGCTTAATAGCTAGAAAATTAAGGGTTCATCTCATTTTCCAGTGATCATATCATCTTTAAATATGATGTCTGTCTTTTATTTAAATCATTTGGCAGGCAGCTGGGCATGGTGGCCTATGCCTTTAATCTAGCACTCTGGAGACAGAGGCAGGCAGATCTCTGTGAGTTCCAGGCTAGCCTTGTCTACAACAAGAGTTCTTATATACCCAGGGCTGTTACACAGAGAAGCCCTGTCTCAAAATAAAAAACAAAAACAATCACATGGCAGGCAGAAACATAAACCTAGACTTTGTCATAGCTCAGGCAACTTCAGCTGAGACCTTTTCTGGGGCCGTCACATCCACTTTCAGGATAGAGTAAGAAAGAACAGCTAAATAAGCATTACTGAAGTTAAGAAGAAAAGTATTTTAAATTTTTGAATGGTAAATGAAAACTTGTGAAAATGACAGATAAGAGTTTTTCAAAATTAACAGTTGGTCCTAGGTAGTATTATATTGAGTTAGTTGACCTAAAACCCATATAGTTAACTAAATAAATACTGTTAATCTGTTAGTAAAGGTTTTTAAGAATATACCTTTATTTTACTACATTTATTTGTTTTTTGTTTGTTGAGACAAGGCCTCACTATATAGACCAGTCTGATCTCAACGGAGATCTGCCGCCTTACTGGTATTGAAGGCGTGCACAACCATACCTGGCTTTATTAGTGCAGGGGCGAGACTAAGCTGCAGTGAAGTGTGGAGGCTGGAGGGCAGCTTTTGGGAGTCGGTTCTCTCCTCCCGCCTCGTGGATGGATGCTGGGGATCAAACTTAAGGTGTTTGGCAGCAGGAGCCTCTATCACAGCCTCTAGTTTTGCTTTTTGAGACAGTTTTTTCATAGGTAGCATTCAGGCTGTTCTCAGACCTGCAACCCTGAAGGCCCCTGAGTGTTGAGTATAGGGATGTACCACCACACCCAACACAAAAAATCACTTCAGAAGTAAGCGTGAGTGTGTTCCTAAGTCAGCCTCTGTGTTTTGGGGTTGTTTTTTTTTTTTTTTTTTTTTTTTTTTTTTTGAGACTGTCTCTCCCTGGGGTCTGGAGCCCCCTCCCATTAGGTAGGCTGGCCGGCCTGAAAGCCTTAGGGATCTGCCTGCCCCTGTATCTCCAGCAGTCACATTACAGGCTTCACTGTACCTGGCTTTTCCTGTGGCTGCTAAGGATCAAACTCAGTCTCACACTTGCTTGGTAAACACTTCACCAGCTGAACGACCTCCTCAGCTCCAAAGATAATTTTTAAGTTTTCTCAAAGAATATAAGATATAGACATTAAAGTGGTCATAAAATAAGGACATACAGTTTATAGATAAAATGTGAACACAAATGCTAATCCATTTCTTGTAGGATATGTGTTACGGGTGTGATTCTTTAAGCTGCATCCTAAACATTGAAAGGGGGATGTGATTAAAACACATACATTATTAACACATACATTGTTAACACACAGATTAAGATAGCTAATGCCGACTTTTAAGTTATTACGCTAATAAACCTTTAAAGCACCTTGAATGCACACAGGTTTTTCGAGACAGGGCTTCTCTGTGTAGCCTTGGCTGTCCTGGACTCGCTTTGTAGCAGTGCAAACTGCGTACAACCTTTTTTTTTTTTAATTAGCTGATTAATTTATTTTTCATGCAACTTAATATTGACATTTATGTCCCCAAACTTACGGTGGTCCTTCTGCCTCAGCCTCCCAAGTTCTGGCATTTACAGGTGTGAGGCTCTGTACCCAGGGTTCCTTTTCAAAGTCTTTGCAATGATGAATATCAAGCCCAAGGCCTTTTTTGTTCTGTTCAGTTGTTTTTTGAGACAGGGTTTCCTTAGGTAGCCCTTGTCCTGGAACTCACTCTGTAGACCAGGCTGGCCTCAAAGTCAGATCTGCTTGCCTCTGCTTCCCAAGTGTTGGGATTAAAGGCCTGCGTCACCATGGGCCAAACCCAGGCCTTATGCATGCTTACCAAATGTCCACCTCTGAGCTACATTTCCACTCCAAAATTGATTGCTAATTTCAACTGGTTTATTTGTAAAATATATTTGATGGCAAAGAGCAGGATCTTTTAAGAGTTCTTGAGCAGACTGAATCTTTCTGACAGTGGTGGACAGAACAGATGTAGCCCACAGGATCAGAAACACGGACAGTTGAATGTACTGGGTCATGTAAGCCACAGCGTTCTGAGGCTTCCTGCCACACAGTTTCGAATGGGAAATTCTGGCTTGTGGGAATTTTTTCTTTGTTCTTTTTTGAGGCAGTATCCTTGTCTTCCAGTGCCCGAGCAAGCATGTAACTAACCTTCCTTTGATGGGCCAGAGCTTCTTCCTTGTCATTCAGCTGTAAACACAGAAGTCAGAAATGTACCAGGTAGTGAGTCGAAGAAAGGGAGTACTGCATTTTATTAAAACACTGCATCTTAGATGTTAACAATAGTATTTTAGAGTAATCTTGAATCAAATGCCAGGGGGCTGAAGAGGAATTTTAGGATTTATTTTGTGTTCATGTTTCTGTGTGAGTGCCATGGAGTATGTTAGAGCTGGTGGACAGCTTGCAGGAGTCAGTTCTTTCCTTTTGCCACGTGTGTCCTGGAATGGAATTCAAGTTGTCTGGCCTGGCAGCAGGCTCCGTCACCTTCTGAGCCAGCTCAGTGGCTGAACTGCCTCACCCCACCTACCCGTCCAGAGCTCGGTTTATAGATCAGCCTGCCTGTCTCCCAGCAGCTGTGCCCCACCGCTGCCCAGCTTGTGCTTTTTTATTTTTATTTTTTTATTTCAGGTTTTTATTTATCTCTGTATGTGTGATGTATGTGCCATGTGTGTGCAGGTACCCAAGAAGGCCAGTAGAGGGTGTCAGATCACCCAAAACTGGATTTACAGTTTTGTGAGCCACTCAGTGCCAGTTCTGGGAACTGAGCTTGGGTCTTCTAGAAGAGAAGTAAGTGCTCTTAACTAAGGAGCCAACCTGAGCCATGTCTCCAACCCCAGGATCTTTTTTTTTTTCTCCCAAGGTGGCAAGGGTGGGGGTGGAGACAGCAGTGAGGAGGCTCATCAAGGAAGGCTACTTGTCTTTCAAGCTTGGTGAACTGAATCCAGTCCTTGAACTCACATAGAAATACCAGACCTGATGCACAGAGCTGACCTCTGACCCCACATGTGCCATGGCATGCATTCCCACACATACGTCGTACATACGTACAACAACAGACGTTTCCTTAAAAACCCAACAACTTTGTGTTGCTTCTGTTTAATCCTGTAAGTCACCTTGAGATGGGGACAACTGTGTATATGTACGTAATCCCAACATGGATGTATTTCTGAAAGAATACTTAAAGCTGTATCTGATCTTGTTTTTATGTATTTATATATAAATAAATACGTCATCAGAGTCAAAGTGTGTTTGCTCGGAGTACCTGAGCCCGCGTCTTGGTTTAGTAGCCATCTTTGGAAGGGTAACAGGACTGACCACAGGTTGTGTTAATGATGTAAAGTACTGTGGCTAAGTGCCTGGGATACTTCAATGTGTTGGAATGAGTCGCTGACCCCTCCTCAGATGTGGAACCTGAAGCCTTCACAGAGGCGATCTACATGGAAGAGGAAAGGGTTGGCAGGGAGATGGTGGAGAGTGGGACCCCATGGAGAAGGGGCCCTAAGAGGCAAGCATGGTTTAGAATAGGACCACAGCCCCTGACAAAAGCAAGCAAAGGTACTAACCAAATCTCTTAGCATCTTTAAGACCTCTTTCAGGTTGTCCTGGTCCTCAGCCCTCTTGGAACTGTTTTCTGAAGGGAGTATTCCCAGCAGTCTCTGCCCTAACGTCTTCTTTCTCCTTTGTGCTGGATATCCTGAAATTCAGTGGGAGAATTCAGCTGAGAAAAACACACTCACTGATATTAGTTGCAATAAAAGAAGTACCTGTGAGGCAAGGCTAATGAGCTCCTAAGTCAGTCCAGAGGTCACTCTCACAAAGCCACAAGGACTGGTGTCAGGTGGTACAGTATGATGGCGGCTGTGGACTTCAGGGTGGGAGTGGGAGACTGTGGGATGGGGGCTGTGCTGTTGGGAACTCGGTGCTTGGGCCCCGAGTCATCACAGTCTTCAGGGGCAGCAGAAAGCCAGGGCTCGTGTGGGATTCCCTAATTTTAAACGTCTCTGCACAGGCTGACAGAAGTGCCATTGTCTTGTGTAGCAAGCACTGTTACCTGCTGAGCCGTCTTCAGCCCAAGACTTGCTAAACTTCATGTAGTAACAACTACATGAAATAATTCAATTTTATCTCTTTCCTGTGCCTCATAGATTTATTAAATCCCAAAGCAACCACCCCCTCCATTCTTGCCCCTTGCCCCCTACCTACCGTCCTCTTTGAGGTGTTGCCTGTTCGTCCATGTTGCTGCTCTTCTACACTTATCCACGCGTGTCAGTCTCAGGGCCTGGTCGTTTTTCCTCATTAATTGTTGCTCAAAAGCAATTCTGAATGCATCTGCCGTCATGAGCGCCTCTTCCTTGCTCTTCTGCAGAATTTCCATCTGAAAGAGTGTTGGGAGCCATCACAGGTAAAACTGGAATCCCGTTTTGCACAGAAATCTCTGTATTCCTCTCTGTTCTATCTAGTTTACCTAGATCAGCACCTGCCCATGCTACCAGCTCTCTGGCCCGGACGCCTTGTGTCTGCCAACTCTCTGCCAATTCGGCTCTTGGCCAAGTGTCTGTCCTGCCCACATCCTGGAGGAAGGGCACAGTTGGAAAGGAGAAAAGAAAAAAAGGGTAAAACAATGGCTGGGCATGTGGTGTATGACTTTAATCCCAGCACTGGGGAGGCAGAAGCAGACAGAGTTCTTGAGTTTGATGCCAGCCTGGTCTACAGACCAAGTTCCAGGGCAGCCAGAGCTACACAGAGAAACCCTGCCTTAGAAAGCCAAAAAGAAAAAAGAAAAAAAAGTAAAACTGTTTTAGAACTATGCCAAATCACAACTATCAGTTGATGAAATTCCAGGCATGCTGACACTAAACATGTCTATTTCCTCCGCAGAAGTTATTGTCCTGCTAACCTCTGACAGAACTGAGACTCACCCAGCCCAGAGCTACACAGACAGGGAACAGTGGTGCTAAGGTGTTAGCAAGCTCGGGGCATGATGGTTCCTTCCATTTCAGTTAAGCTCTATATCCTCCCACTAACCAGTGTTAAGTCTACTGGTTTTAAGTGTAAATACACCTTTTCCCTCTGTTAACTGTGTTTTGGGGGCCAGGTATAAATGAGAAAGTGTGACTTTAAAAAATATTAACTACACACTTAGTCAAACAACTTTACACAGCTTCAGCTCTTCATGCGGCGTACCATGTGTATTTTGGAACCAGGCAAACGAAAGCTAAGCACGTTAACGCGATCACAGAAAGCCAAGCCTGTGTTCCACAGTCAGTGACTCCTCAGATGAAGTCATTACCGCAAATATTGCCATTTATTCTACTGCTAACAAGGAAATGGAACTGACGCCTCTGCGGTTGCACTGGTGTGGTGCATACCTCATGTCTGAGCTGAAGGACCAGCTTCCGAGTAGATGCTGCCATTCTGGCACATGAGCAGGGGCTCCCACCAGGACCGTGACACAAGCAGGCTCCAAGGACTGCAAGCTTGAAACCAGAAGACATTACCTGTTACCTAGGGTCATGCTGCCTTGGCCACACACAAACACCATCCCACAGCCCTGCACATGCCAGTCACGCCTCTGAGCTAAAGAAAGTGGAATGTGTGAGAGTAATTATTTTATGTTTAATTATAAAAATGTGTTTACATATATTATAAATGATGTATATAATACATATTTTAAGGAAAGCTGAGATAAATTTGTGATCTGAGTGGAAATGACCACAAATGAGACATCATTATTTACAACAAAAACTTCAAAGAATTCTACCTTGCTTCCTTTTCACTCTCAAAACCTTTAATCCTGGCATTCATCCCCAGTAGCTTTGAGTGTGCAGCCAGAATTTCGCCTAACCAAGCATTAATCCTAACGTGTGCTTCCTGTGACAGGCGTGACCCCTATAGCCAGCATTCACTAGGTCTCCCTCCTCCAACAAGACTGCTCAGAATGAACAGGGAATTTTATTTTGCCCCTGGGAAAAGTAATCATACTTCCATTCTTAAAAAAAAAAAAAAAATTACTCTGCAATCATGCCCTATATCTTAAAATATTTCTTAGGCAAGGACTGTAGTAAAGCTACTTGTAGCCCTGGCCCATCACAGTGAAGAAACAGGGGCACTCCTGCTTGACCTGCCCAGCCTCAGTTGGATGGCGCCCCCTGCAGCCCTTCAGTGAGGATAAAGTGAGAAAGTCCTCAGAAGGAGCCTGCTCCACCCAGCACTGGAGCGTGGCTCAAGCACTGTTAAGGTAAGAATGGACCAGCGGCAGGAAACAGCACATTCTCCAGGGTCCAACAGTTGTGCCTCTTGGGCATGGCACCAACCTGGGCAAATCCCAAGGGCCTCTCACACCCTAGCCTGAGTAGCTACGTCTGCTGCTGTCCTAGAGCAGGAGGGAGGGAAAGCAGGCGGACGACGTCCTGCATCCATCATAGATGCATGGGTACCTCGAGCCCGGACACCTCGGTGAAGCCACTCTCCTGACCCAGGTTCTCCTGAGCCATCTTCTGCTGCTTGATATCCAACATGGCGAGAGCCTCCAAGTACCGCTGAGTCAAAACTAGGAAGGGCCACACATGACAGTTAGCTCTGAGGTCAGAACTTTGTGGACTTACACCAGTGCCGTACACTCATTTCTTCTAAGTAACACACACCTCAGACATAACCCACAAGACTGGGCTCCATCCAGAAGACCTATCTGAGGAAACCCACCTCATCTGAGTGTCAGGGGAGAAAAGAAATCTGTAATAGCTATGTCTTTTCATTTTGTTTTTCTGTGCATTGGTTTTGCCTGCATGCATGTCTGTGTGAAGGTGTCAGATCCCACGGAACTGGAGTTAGAAACAGTTGTGAGCTGCCATGTGGGTGCTGGGAATTGAACTGGGACCTCTGGAGGAGCAGCCAGCGCTCCTAAGTGCAGCGGAGCCATGTCTCCAGCTCCGAAAAAGCTACTTCCTGTGGGGAAGCCTCTTTGCCACCCAGGCCTGCTGTTAGTTTGCTCTAGGGAATTTTGTAGATTTGGGGTTTCTTGCTACATAGAGCCCTGGCTGTCCTAGAACTCATTTTATAACTAGGCTGACCCTGGAACTCACAGGCAGGCTCAAGAGATACTAGAGAGAAACTGATTAATGAACACAGCCTTTGTTTTGGAGTATCAGAAAGCTCTGGAGATAGTTAGAGCAGTATGTCAACACCACTGAATTCATCACTTTTGCTTATGTAAGGATATTTTTGAAGATTTCAGACAATGCACAATGTAGTTTGATTATATCCACCTCCACTCTTTTCACCAACTCCTCCAACTGCTGCTGCTTGTTTGTTTCTTTTCTGTAGCCTTTGGCTGTCATCAAATTCGCTATATAGACCAGGCCGGCCTCACACTCACAGATCCACCTGCCTCTGCCCCCTGAATGCTGGAATTAAGGTGAGTGCCACCACAGCCCAACTGTTTATTTTTAAATGATTAAGGTTATGTTGTATGGATTTCACCTTGATTTAGGAAATCTAAACAAACAAAAAACTGAAACTATTTAAAAATCTCAGTGATGCATTTCTTTTTATTTTCCTTAAATTATATTACTTCAAAATACTAGCATTTTGCCTGTATTGACAAGAGTGTTCTTGCTATATTATATTCTGTATGTGCTGTCTTTAAACATATTTTAAAAGAATCATTAAAATACATTACTCACCAGCATTTTCAGACTTGAGCATTTTTATTTCTTCTGTCTTTACCTTCAGATTCTCTGTGAGGACTGCATTGTCACAGTTTAGTCTGGAAAAAAGAAACTTAATAATTAAAGTAGTAATACCTCACAGCAAAAATATTTTTATTTCTCCAACTTACTACATTTTGTTTGTGGGAGGCACAAAAATGCTCACGTGATCAAAGGACAACTTGTGGGCGTGGGTTCTCCTGTGTGGGTCTTTGCATCAAACTCGGGTCACTGGGCTTGGTGGCAAGTATTTTGTTTTTGTTGTTGTTTTGCTTTTGTTTTTTGACAGGGTTTTTCATTGTAACCTCAGCTGTCCTGGACTTGCTTTGTAGACCAGGCTGGCCTCGAACTCACAGAGATCTGCCTGCCTCTGCCTCCCTAAATTCTGGGATTACAGGCATACCACCACAGCGGGCTAGTGGCAAGTGTTCTTATCTACTTAGCCATTTCACCTTCAACTTATACTCTTTATCTTATGTATATGAACACTCTGTTTTCATGCACACCAGAAGAGGAAATCAGATTCTATTTCAGATGGCTGTGAGCCACCATTTGGTTGCTGGGAATTGAACTCAGGACCTCTGGAAGAGCAGTCAGTGCTCTTAAACTAAGCCATTTCTCCAGCCCTCAATTTATACTCCTAAGTCTTTTACTTAGTCGAGAACTCAGCAAAGCCCAAATTCACATTAATTCTCCTTCACATTAACACAGTTTTAATTTGACTTAATAACCACTTGGATACTGACTCTGTGCTTAGGCCATCTTAGACAGGTCCTTTTGTAAACTGTGGATGTGGGTTGATGCAGAGTCACTGTAGGTCCGTGGATTATAACCAGCGGATTAAACAAGTGGGAATGTTGATGGTGGGAAGCTGTGCACAGGGAGGGCATATGAGAAATTGCTATACTTCCCACCAGTGTGGCTTCAATCCTTTACAAAAAAAAGGCAAAGGCAAAGGCAAACCCAAAGTCCTTCACTGGGGGATGGGGCAAGAAACACCCACACATGTTCTCAGCACCATTATTCAAAATAGCTGTAAGGCGGAAGCAAGCCCCCAGTGGCCATCTAGGGTTGAAGGTGTAAATGAAGATGATTAGAGATACAGGTCAGAGCCTTCTTCTTGGAAGAAGATTGGAGATCTTGGAAGGAAATTCTGAAAGATGTTACAACATGGGGGAACCTTGCAGGACAACTAAAAAGGACAAACGCAGCAGGATCCTGTAACAGGAAGCACTCAGAGTAGTCAAACTCAAAGAGACAAGGAAGTGAGTGTCGGCCACCAGTGCCTTTGGGAGGACCAGTGAAGAGTGGCGGTTTGAGGGGATCCTGGACGAATGGTGGTAATGGCTGTACAACTGACTCCTCTTCTAGATTTTTGTTTGTCTCGTGTAACTTGAGATAACCTGAACTCTCTAGGTAGCTGAGGACGATCTTGAACTCTCCATCCTCCAGTCAAGCAGTGGTATCCCAGGCAGATGCCACCATTCCATGCTCGTTTGTTTTGAGAGTCTTACTGTCTAGCCAAAGCTAACTTGATCCTCCTGGCTTGGGCCTTCCTAGTGTTAGTACAGGCCTGTGCTACCACACCCGGTTTAATGTGACTAGGTTATTTAGTTTGGAGATAGGATCTTGCAGTGTAGCCGTGGCTGGCCTGACACACTGTAGTCCAGGTTGGCCTCAAACGTCCAGCAGTTATCCTGCCTTGGCCTCTTGAGTGTTGGTGTTGCAGGCATGCAACCCTATGCAATCCTATGTGGGACTCAATATCACTGAACTATACTTTTTTTTTTTAAAACAATAGAGGGCCTCTGTGTAGACTTGGCTGTCCTGGAGCTCATTCTGTCGACCAGGATGGCCTCGAACTCATAGAGATCTACCTGCCTCTGCCTCCTGAGTGCTGGGATTAAAGGTGTGCGTCACCACGACCTGGCCTATGTTTTTCAATGGTCAAGATGGTAAGTTTTATGTTAGATAATTATGTTCACATAATTAAAGACAAAGGAGGAGCCAGTGCTGATGCAGCTCAGTGATGGAGCATTTGTGTAGCCTGCACCCTGAGTGAGAGAGAGAGAGAGAGAGAGAGAGAGAGAGACTCCAATGCCCTCTTCTAGCCTCTGTGAGCATTTGCACTCATCTACACATATCCACACTTAGACATGTATATATGTAAGTAAAAAATTAAATAATTAATTAAATAATTAATTAAATAATTAAATTAAAATTAAATCTTAAAAACATAAAACCAACCCCAGGGATGAAGAGATGGCTCAGCACTTAAGAGCACCGACTGCTCTTCCAGAGGACCTGAGTTCAATTCCCAGCACCCACAGGGTGGCTCACAACTGTCTATAATGCCAGTTCCAGGGGATCTGACACCCTCACACAGATATGCATGCCCATAAAGATAAATCTTAAATGATAAAAAATTTAAAAAGATAATTCCAAAAACAGAAGCCAGACTTTAAGCTTATAGCCTGAAGACCAGGATTCAATCCCTGGGATCCACAGAGTGGAAGAAGAGAACCAACTCTGATGAGTTGCCCTATGACCTCTATGTATTCACCATCCTGTGTCATGTCCCCCTTAATAATTGCAAAATAAAAATATATACTTATCAAGACATTCATAATGATGTTTATTGAAATTACTCTATGTTCTACTACAGATTGACTTCAAATGATTAAAAAACATCATGAAAAAACAATCATGAGATGGTTGGTTGGGAGTTTAGCTCAGTTGGTAAATTGTTTGCCTAGAATCCAGGAAACCTTAGATTGAGTGACCACCACCATATAAACTGGACATGGCAACACACACCTGAAATCTCACCACTGAGGAAATGGAGGCAGGAAGATCAGAAGTTCAAGGCCATCTCTGACAAACCTGGGAAGCACCTGACCCTTTCTCCAAATAAGTAAAGAAATATAATCATAATAGTAAGGTTTCTCAGTCAAAAATGAGATGTAGAGCCAATGAGGTGGTTCAGTAGGTAAAGGCATTTGCTGCCAAGCCTGATGACCTGAATTTTAGCCCCATTATCCACAGGGTGGAAGGAGAGAATCAACTCCCAAAAGTTGCCCTCGGACTTCCTCATGCTCACTGTGGCGTGGGCTAACTTCCCACAGAGATTAATAAGTAAATGTAACACAATTTTTTAAGGTAAATACACAAAACTTTTAAAAAGGATTTATTATTTATAGTGTTCTGCCTGCATGTGTGCCTGCAGGCCAGAAGAGGGCACCAGATCTCACTATAGATGGTTATGAGCCACCATGTAGTTGGGAATTGAACTCAGGACCTTTGGAAGAACAGACTGTGCTTTTAACCTCTAAGCCATCTCTCAAAGGTTATAAAATTTGCTTTAAAAGCGCACACACACACACACACACACACACACACACACACACACACACACACAAAATTAAAGGATAAAAAAGAAAGGAAAGAGAAGAGAGTGTAGCCAGGCATAGTGGTACACACCTGTAGTCCCAACACTCAGAGAGGCAGAGGCAGGTGGATCTCTATGAGTTTGAGCCAGCCTGGTCTATAAAGTGAGTCCAGGACAGCCAAGGCTACACAGAGAAACCTTGTCTCAAAAAACAAAACAAACAAGATGAAGAAGAAAGAAAAGAAACTGTGAAATAGAATAGGTTTCCTGAGGTTCCAGGAATTGATTTTCACAATGAATTCTCTCTAATTTTCCCCACAAAGTTAGTGAGTATAAACCCAGAGCCTTGCCCATGCTAGAGAAACATCTTCACATATATGTATGTGTGTGTATGTATAGCTGCGTGTGTATGTACACACACATAATAAACAGACATGCACAAATACAGTTTAGCTGGGAATGGCAATACACTTGGGTAATCCCTCACCTGGGAAGCCAACATACATGTTGGCCTATGTATTGAGAGCCTTTCCCAAGAATAAGAAAAATGTGGGGTCTGGAGAGCTGGCTTAGTGCCAAGAGTCTTTAGAGGAGCCCACTTTGGTTCCCATCACCTATGTCAGGTGACTTGCAACTGCCTGAACCCCCGGCTCCAGGGGATCTGACGCCCTCTTCTGGACCCCTACACATATGCACACAATTACAAAATAATAGAAATTTTAAAATAATGGTTTTTTTTCTTTTTTAGTTTTTTGAGACAGGGTTTCTCTGCATAGCCTTGGCTGTCCTACACTCACTTTTTAGACCAGCCTGGCCTCGAACTCACAGAGATCCACCTTCCTCTGCTTCCCTAACTCCCTAAGCACTGGGATTACAGGTGTGCACCACTGTGCCCAGTAATATTTTCTGAAAACATAAGAAAAAAAAATACTTCGATAATGTGTTTTTGTATTTTATCTTTGCTGCTGTTTGTCTGAGGGAAGGAGGAGAACAGATGTGGCATGTTCGTACAGTGGATTCCCTTTCACACTGAAAGAGAAACGCTCTAGAACATGGAGGAGTTTGCAGGACCTTGCTGAGACACAGTCTCGTGTTTACTGCTGCATATAGCAGGCTGGCTGGCCTGTGGGCTTCTGGACAGGCCTGTGTCTCCATGGCCCATCTTGCCATCGGCATGCGGGAATCACAGATAAACGCTCCCCCATGGGTCCTGGGGGTCTGAAAATCGTGTGCTCACACTTGGGGAGCGAACGCTTTAGCCGCTGCACCGTCCCCCACGGCTGCTGTGTTCGATGTTGCTCTAGCCAGGCCTTCAGCACGGAGCAGCATCCATGCCCTTTTAAAATTTTTATTTCAAGACAATCACATTAAATTGCCTGGAACTTAGAATCCTTTTGCTTCAGTTTCCCCAGCAGCTGACACAGTCGTGAAGCACACTGCATATATATCTATATCTGTAGATAAATAAGTATATAAACAGATACATATGAAAATAACAGAAAAATGTGGAAATGGTAAATGGGTAGGCAGTGAGAATTTTATTTATAGCTTGCTCAAAGACTGTCTAAAACTACATTTGAATTACATGCATTTTAAAACTTCCCTTGGGAAAATTCTGGATGATACTATACATGCCTGGACTAAGGATGTGCCTCAGTTGGAGTGTAGGTGTACAAGGCCCTGGGTTTAATTATCAGTGCCGTAAGTATACAAACCTGTCATATTTTTGGGTCCAAGATTCCTCTATGTTTTTAAATCTATCCTGATCAAATTCCATTTCCCAACGCAAGGCATTTATTTCCTACAGAAAGAGAAATATCACCTTCAAATTAAAAAAAAAAAAAAAAAAGCATTCATGGAAAATTATCAGCATAAATCACTCAGAGACACCAAGAGGGTGAAGGAACTCATTTAATCATACAACAGTTAAAAGAGTAAAAATGATGTTCAGAAGAGTCTATGCCATTTGTAAAATACATCAAATGGGCTCCTTTAGCACTTAGACACACTTTGCCAAAGCTCACTGAACAAACAAAAGAAATTTCAAACTGTTTGAGTTAAAAATTTGCTGTACTGCCTGGTGGTGGTGGTGGCACACTCCTTTAAGGCTAGCACTTAAACTCAGAGATCAGGTGGATCTCTGAGTTCCAATCTACAGAATGAGTTCCGGTATAGCCAGGACTACACGGAGAAATCCTGTCTTAAAAACAACAACAACAACAAAAAACAAAATGGAGCTGGAGAGATGGGCCAGTGGTTAAGAGCCCGGAGTGCTTCCTTCCTCCCCCACCCAGGTGCTGAGTTCAAGTCCCAGCATCCCCACGGGTGGCTCACAGTTGTCTATAACTGTAGTCCAATGGGATACAATGCCCTCTTCCGGTGAACAGATACATGCAGACAAAACATCTATATACATAAAAAAATAAATAAATCTTAAAAAAAAAAAATCACTGTACTGAGCACAGATTTCTCAGCGCCCACTTTTGCTCATGGAAACACCAGAAACTAAATTTACACTTGGGAGTCTTAGCCCAAATGGCCCCATCTACAATGATCCTAATTTTTCTTGTTTTTTTTTTTTTGTTTGTTTGTTTCTTTCAAGACAGGGTTTCTCTGTGTAGCCTTGGCTATACTGGACTGGCTTAGTAGAGCAGGCTGGCCTTGAACTCACAGAGATCTTCCTGCCTCTGCCTCCTGAGTGCTGGGATTAAAGGAGTGCACCACTATGCCTGGTAATTCTAAATTTCATATATAGTCTGACCCTGGAGGCAGAGGAAGAAAGACAGAAGGAAAATGAGAAGTGCCAAGTTGGCAAATCCTCTGCTATCATAAGAAGGAAATAAATTATACTTTACCCACGTGACAATCTGTTTTAAAATGTAAGTGCCCAAACGGAAAACCATCCAAGATCAAAGTATTCCTTAACGAGAGCACCACAAATGACTCACCCATTATTGTGATTAGCCTAAGGAAATTATGTTTAAATATCATCAGACTAACAGCTGCAAATACCTTCTCCAAAGATCTCTTTTGTTCTATGGTTTTTTGAAGGACTGTCTGTGTGTGGCTTGTGGCTTTTCCAAGCACTGCCTAAGGAAAAAAATAAAAATAAAACCAGCATCAGTAAGATTACATTTTAACATTCCTATCTGCACACTACGGCATCTATGCACACATTCCTGTGAGCACATTTTATTTTTTTAAGATTTATTTTATTTTTAATGTGTCTGTGTGTTTGTGTGTGCAGGTACCTGAGGAGGCCAGAAGGGGAAGTCTCCTGGAGCTGGAGTTGAGGCAGCTGTGAACTGCCTGACGTGGGTGCTAGGAATCAAACTTGGGCCCTGTGCAAAAGCGGTAAGTGCTGAACCATCTCTCCAGCCCGACATTTTATTTTGTTATTTTAATTTTATTCTCGAGATAGGGTTTCTCTGTGTAGCTTTGGCTGTCCTAGACTCGTTTTGTAGAGCAGGCTGGTCTTGAATTCACTGGGGTCTGCCTGCCTCTGCCTCTCTGAGTGCTAGGGTTACAGCTCTGTCCCTCTGTGGCTGGCTCCAGCCCCATATTTTAATTTAAGATAACAGAATATTAGCAAAATGATTAAATGACAGCAACTTTTGTGTGTGTGTGTGTGTGTGGGGAATAATAGTTTAAAATTCAGACGATCTTTGCTCTTTCTTTCCCAAATGTGATTGGATGGATGACTTTTCTTGGCAGGGAATTATACACAGCAGCATTATTCATCATCATCAGAATGAAGAAATAACTGAAATATATATCAGCTGGTAGGCGAAAGATACATAAAACATGTATGGCTATAAAACAGAATATTAGTAATAAAAAGAAATTATTGCTGGCCATGGTGGTGCATGTCTTTAATCCCAGCACTCAGGAGGCAGAGGCAGGAGGATCTCTGAGTTTGAGGCCAGCCTAGTCTGCAGAGGGAGTTCCAGGACAGCCAGGGCTACATACAGAAACCTTGTCTTGAAAAAAACAAAGCAAAACAAAAACCAAGCCAGCCAACCAAACAGATCTATTAAAAAAGATCAGGAAATTATGCTATTAAAATATCTGTATCTTGAGGCTGGAGAGATACCTCAGAGGTTAAGAGCACTGGCTGTTCTTCCAAAGGTCCGGAGTTCAGTTCCCAGCAACCACATGGTGGTTCACAACCATCTATGTGTGCCCTCTTCTGGCGTGTAGGCACACATGCAGACAGAGTAATATATAAATAATAAACCTTTAAAAAATAATGAAATCTCTGTATCGCAGATGGGGCAGTGGGGGCGCACACTTTTAATCCCAGCACGCAGGGAGGCAGAGGCAGGCAGGTCTCTGTGAGTTTGAGGCCAGCCTGCTCTACAAAGTGAGTTCCAGGACAGCCAGGGCTACACAGAGACCCCCTGTCTTAAAAAACAAAAATGAAAAAAACAAATATGCATCTCAAAAAACCCAACAATATTAAGCACCAACACGTTTATTTTACAAGGTAGAAATACCACTCATTACTGTTGGTTGTTTTTGGCATGTGAGTGTGTTCCCAAAACAGGGTCCCAGGATGCAACCTGGTCTTGAACTCTTCATCCTCCTGCCACTGCCTCCTGAGTGCAGGAATTACAATGCCACTTATTACTGGAATATGTTAAGTGATGAAAATTTCAGACATAGGGCTAGGGAGATGGCTCAGAGGTTATGAGCACTGGTTGTTTTTCCAGAGGACCCTGGTTCAATTCCCCAGCACCCACATGGTAGCTCACAACTGTCTGTAATTTCGGTTCTAGAAGATACAGACAAAACATCAATGTACATAAAAATAAATAAATCTTTAAATTCTTACCATGCTTTGAAGGATTTTCAGTGCTTCCTCTTTACCTTCAAGTTGTCTCTGAGATGCTTCCAGTTCAGTTTTTAAAATCTCTACTTCCTGAGGACAGAGATGCAGTAAGCCTTTACTTCTGACCCCTGTAACTGGCCAGTGGCTAGTCCAGAGTTACTCTTACCAAGGCGGAGCTGTCAGAGTGAACCAGTCAGGCTACAACTAAGAAAGAGCCTCACCATCAAGTTCCAGCTAGAACAAAGGCCTGCCTCTTGCTTTTACCCATGTAGGAACATGGAAAATAAGGAAAGAAAATGTTGGTGTTGTTTTATTTAACAAAGGGTCTCAAATGGCTTCAAACCGCTTAGGCAGTCAAAGACAGCCTTGAACGGTTCATCTTCCTGACCCCACCTCCCAGGTGCTGGGGTGACAGATGTGCACTGCCACACCCACATGAAAAGAAAAATCTTTAGTGCTGCAGGATACCTGATCACACTGTGAACCCCAAGATTGTGTCGCTTACTGGAAAAACCTGTTTCTAGTTGCGGTGTGACTCAGCCCTAAAACATACATTTAATCCCAGAGCTTTCTGCTTGAGCAGAAAGATTAAACAAAGATTTAATAAAATCAACCATAGTTCGAGAGATGGAGCAAGCAACCAGTTGACAGGGAATACAGGAAAAACCACAGAAAGTAAGAGGAAGTCAGAAAGACAAGAGATGCACAGGAAGTAGGAGGGAGGGACATTCAGTTTGAGAGTTTTTGAGATAGCATGGAGAAAGAGAGTCTTTTATTGGGATATCAGCTGATGAGGAGGTCAGCTGGGTGCTTCCTCTGTCTCTCTGAGAGAGCAGGCTTTCACCCCAAAATCTGGCTCCCAAGTTTTCATTGGTGAAAGGGAATGATTGAGGCTTTGTTAAAAACATTACCACATAAAATAAGCACATGGCTACCTATCCAACTGTAGCAGCTGCTACCGTCTGAATTCTGACACCTGCTTCCAAGTTTGTTCGTATCATGAACATGAACCTATCTGGAAAGGGGGCTTAACATATAAGTTAAGATAAAAACCAAATCAAATAAAAAATACTTCCATCTTCAGACTATAGAGCCCATCTGAGCTGAGACCACTTCAAAAATGCCTTCCAAGGAGCAGCTGAAGAGCTCCACTCTGTGGAAATGGAGCATTTACAGAACTACACGCCTGAGTGACACTTTCCCTTTACCGACTGTGACGTAGACATGCTGACAAACTTAGTTTAAGGATATAATCCAGTTGCAATTGGATTAAGGTGGGCCCCAATCTAATGACAAGTGTGCCTGTGAAATAAGAGGCACCTCGGGCACCGTCCCCTGGAGGACAAGGCCATGAGAGGCAGAGACTGGACATGTGCACTACAGCCTAGGAACGCCACGGGCTGCTGCCGCCTTCAGAGGCAGCATGGTGATCTAAAACCTTAACTTCAGACTTTCTCCCTCTGCAGGCTCTCCCTCTTCAGACTGAGCTAATGAGAAGATTCTGCTGTGGCTGGGCAGTCCCTCCCTCCCCCCTCTTGTTACAGAAGTTTATGGCCCTACTGAATGCTTGCTTCGATGCCCCTTGGCTTGCAGGCTAGTCAAGGCTAAACCACGTGGTGTGGAGCATCCCCAAGCCCCTGAGACCTTACGACTTGGAAACTCCCTTTGTTATTTGGAATGGAAGGCTCTCCCTTCAAGACACCATCACATCACCTCACCGCCTCTCTTTTCTAATTTCTAGCAACTCTCTAGTCTTCTGACTTTAAGGACATTAAATTAAGATAGACTTTTCGAGCCCCACATACAAGAAAAGCGTCTACAAGGAAGCATTACGAATCTTCCCCAATAAGTTTAGAGAGGCCAAAGAAGCACTGGGCATGCTTACATAAGGGGGCTTTTTAAGAGACAAAAACTGGGGCCAGCAAGATGGCTCAGCAGGTTAAGGAGCTTGCCACCAAGTGTGACGACCTAAGTGAGATCATTGGTACCCACAGGATAGATGAGAGAACCAACTCCAGCAAGTTGTTTCCTGATGTCCACAAGTATGCTGCGGCAATACACACAGAGAAGGGAGGGAGGGAGAGAGGGAAGGGAAAGGAAGGGAAGAAAGGAAGGAAAGGAAGGAAAGAAGGAAGGAAGGAAGGAAGGAAGGAAGGAAGGAAGGAAGGGAGGAAAGGAAGGGAGGGAGGGAGGGAGGAAGGGAGGGAGGGAAGAAAGGAAGGAAGGAAGGAAAGAAGGAAGGAAGAAAGGAAAGAAGGAAAGAAGGATGAAATTATCCCAGCACTCAGGGAGCCAGAGGCAAGCAGATCTCTGAGTTCAAGGCCAGCCTCATCTACAAAGTGAGACCAGGACAGGGAAGGCTACACAGAAAAACTCTGTCTTGAAAAAGGAAAAGGAAAAAAAAAAGAAGAAAATGAGAGAGAGACAGGCAGAGACAGTCACAGAGAGAGACATACACACACAGGAAGAGAGAAAGAGAGACTAAGAAACAGAGGAGGCCTGTTGAAAAGTGTGACTTCCTAGATGAAGGGAAGAAGGGGATCTGGGGACTAGCTGGGTGTGAAGCTCACTTTTAGCATCACACAGGACATACCTCTAAAGCTTCATGAAGACGTTGCCTTAACTGTTCATTTGACAAGTCTGAATTAGAATCTATTGGAGGAAAAACATCAAATACTTTCTTTAGTTAAATACCGGTTATTTAGCTGGGTGTGGTGGCCTGCTTCTTAAATTCTGACACTTAGGAGGCAGAGGCAGGTGGAACTCTCTGAGTTAGAGACCAGGCTGGTCTACAGAGTCCTGGTCTCCAGGACGGCCAGAGCTATGTAGAAAGACCCTGTTTCAAATGCTCACACCACACTCTGCAAATTACAAGGCATTTGTTTACAAAATATTAAATATTTCTCTAAATTGCAAAGTGAAAAAAATTATTGTAACTAATGATAAATATATGAACTCTAGGGGCTGGAGAGATGGCTCAGCAGTTAAAGCACTGGCTGCTCTTCACTGGTGGCTCACAACCATCTATAATGAGATCTGGTGCCCTCTTCTAGTGTGCAGGCAGAAAATTGTATACATAATAAATAAATAAACCTTTAAAAAATATGAACCCTAAAATATCCACAGATTAAAAGATATGTGGTTTTGGAAAAAAAAAACAGCTTCTAAAGGACTGTAAAATGAAATTTATGTTAATGAGTTGAGTAATTATTAGGCAAATGTGTAGGAAAACATGAATCTTTTTTTAAAATAATTTATTTGATTTTATTCTCTGTGCATTGGTATGAAGATGTCAGAATCTGTGAACTGGAGTTACAGACAGTTGTGAGCTGCCATGTGGGTGCTGGGAATTGAACCCGAGTCCTTTGAAAGAGCAGAGAGTGCTCTTAACCGCAGAGCCATCTCTCCAGCCCCACACGAATCTTCTAAGTCAATTAAGTGGGTTTCAGTATTTAGCTTAAGCTTAATCACTGTACTAATAATAATACCTCAGGACTAAGCTTTAATTTCTGTCCAGAGGCATTGACCAACTAGACGTCTTCTGTAACTTTAATTTCATAATTTGTTCATTTTATTTCCAGAACCTGCACCTGGCACCTGGGGGACCCCTAGGTGTTGGCTGGGGCCGGGGTAGGCCGGGCATAGAACTGCCTCGCACAATTGGGAGTGGAGGTAAGCAGCCACCAGACTCACGAGCAGAATCTCAGGGCAGACTGGCTTCTGCACGTCACAACTGCTGCCCTACTCGGAAACAAAACATCAGTTCCTTTTAACCCCAGATTCTTTCAAGAGAAAGCCAACGAGGCGGACCAGAGGGAAATGTGCCTGCCACCAAGCCCAACGGGAGCGCCATCCTGGGACTCACGGTGGAAGGAAACTGGCTCCTTCAAGTTGCGGCATTCCTTGGCATGGGCTTGCATCCCCCGACACCCCCCCGCACGCCCATAAATAGACAAATTTAACCTAAAAAAACTTTTTAAAAAAGATTTATTTTTATGAATGCTCTGCCTGCACAAACACAAGGAAGTTAGTTAGAAGAGGGCATCAGACACGGTTACAGATGGTTGTGAGCCACCATGTGGGTGCTGGGAATTGAACTCAGGACCTCTAGAAAAAGCAGCCAGGGTTCTTAACTGCTGAACTATCTCTCCAGCTTTCCTAAAAAACAATCTTAAGGAACTAGTGATGAAAATCTAGCATGGTTACTGACTTTCACGTGCTGGGAGTGTAAGAGCCCCGATACTATCACAGGGGAAGGAAAGCAAGAAGGCCCCGAGTTCTTACCAGCGCTGCTCTGCCGCTGGTAGCCAGACACTCTGCATCCATGAGCACACGCATCTCCACAGCCCTTATTCCCGGGATACTGGAAAACGGTTTCGCTTCTTTTTTCCCCCTTTCTTGGAAAGGCAGGAGGGCTCAGGTTCTTTTCCTCTGACCTTCTCCTAGATGTAGTCGAACATGAAACTTCATAAATGCCACCGGGTTTTCTTCCGAGGCCATACCCCAGGTCACCCTCCGTCATGTCATCCTCCTCTGCTCCCCACACGTCCTCCGACTCGCTCGATGACCTCGACACCTTGCTCATTAGCCAGATGCTGTTTTTATCATACGGGAAAACAGGCTGCCTGTAGGGAGGGAAAGCAGTGGTTAAGGAGCAGCCAGCAGATTCAGCACTCCTTCTTCTGTTTCCCCCAAAGAACAGGAAAACATTTATGTCAAGGCAGTACCTACCAGTCCGTGTCCACTGTCACTAACTTACAACTGCCAAGTTGTGAGTAAAGAAAATATGGTGTGTGTATGCACAGAAAGTAATTTACTCAGTATTGAGAGGGAGAGAGAGAGACTGAAGAGATGGCTCAGTGGTTAGGGGCACTTGCTGCTTGCAGAGCAGTGGAGTTCAAGTCCCAGCACCCACATCTAGCAGCTCACAACTGCCTGTAACTCCAGCTACCCTCTTGTGGCCTCCAAGGGCACCTGCACACAAGTGGTAAACAAACAGAAAAACAGGCACACACAGTCACATAAATATAAATTAAAATTTAAAATTAAAACAAAACCTAACACACACACACAGACACAGACACACACACGTTCTTTTCAATCTTAACTAGAAATATTTAACATCTCAGGTCTTTTTCCATAGGAAAGGGCCCCAGCTCTTACTTCAAAGACAGATGTGAACTCCAGGGAAGGCAGGGAAGGTATTAAGTGTGAATGCAGGGCCTACTGATCAGGGAAGAGCAGTCTACCGAGATGACAGACACTTTAAAACCCAAGCTTACAAAAGAAGCGGTTCTGTTTAGACAAGTCTCAGAGGGCACAACTCAGACAAGCTGGAAGAGACGCCCATGATCAACAGTGTTACAGAAAGACTCAGCCTCCTGCCTCTGTCCCTGCTGCGCCCTTTACTTTGGATCTGCATGGCTTCCAGAGAATAGTCCAGAAAGGTACCCCTCTCCTCAGTTTCCTCCTTTTCTTTCCTTCTCAAATTACACTGTCACATTTGTGTTCAAAATCCCCTTCTATTGTGTAACTCCGAGTGCAAACCAAAAGCCTGTGTCATGGCCAAAGGCCCTGCATTCTGTCCAGCTCTGTTCATTGCCATGCTGGCCACCCCGTGCTCTCTGCGGCTCTTGTGCACCCCAGACCTGGATATTTGCACACCTGATCCCTCAGCCTCTTTGGGCCATTACTTCAGTGCCAGCCACCTTCTCAGTGGCCTTGCTTGGGATACTAGCTACATCACAAGGTAGGAGGCACCAGCTGTTGCCCGGTGGCAGAGCGCTTGCCTGGCACACCCCCAACACTGCAAAATAAAATAAACAAGAGCTGGAGAGACAGCTCGGAGGGTAAGAACACTGCTTGCTCTTCCAGAGGTCCTGAGTTCAGGTCCCGGCAACCACAAGGTGGCTCACAACCATCTATAATGAGATCTGGCTCTCTTCTGGAGTTCAGGTGTACACGAAGGCAGAACACTGTATGCATAATAAATAAATAAATCTTAAAAAATAAACAAAATTGCAAGCCATGGAAGCACTTATCTATGAAGTTACAAGCACACAGGCTTCTAACGTCAGGAAGGAGTCAATTCACACTCAGCCTGGGCTACACAGGAAGAGCTAGCCTTAAAATAAAAGAACTACCCAGAGTGGGCGGGTACCCAGAGATCTGCCTGCCTGTGCCTCCGGGATGCCGGGATAAAGAGCATGATCCCCATGTCCAGCTTCACTTCCTGATTCCACTTCACTCCTTCCTTTCTTTCCTCCGCAGTTTACTTATTTCTCAAACTTGCACCAATCCGTCTGATGAGGTGGGGGAGATGAGGAAGCAGCAGGTGACTCGGGCCTCCTCACGGTGTTTCTGTACTAGGCCAGGTCAGCCACCGGCACACTCCCCTCCGCCACAGCCCAAACGTGCTCCGATCACCCCCCCACCCCCCGCACAGAATGCACACGGCAGCAGATGCAGGGTGCCCGCCGCGCTCCACAGTACTCCACAACTCAACTGAAGCGCAACTGTGGCTCAATAAAGACTTGTTTACTAAACAAATACGAAAAGAGGAGAGAATGCACAAACATGAACACTTGCCTCCACGGCAAGGTCACGCAACGGGCGGGTCCGCAAGCCTCCACGCTAGGCTCCAGGGGATTGCCCTCTTTTCCAGAGACAGCATCTTAGAGAACGCGCCGCCCCTGAACCCTTTCAGCCCCCGGCCTGGCCCCCCAGGGTCACTTACTTGGTCACAGGGAGCAACTGCTGCGCCCGATACTCAGCCTCCTCCCTTCAGTATGGAGCGCAGCGAGCTCAGGCTTTCAACACTGGGCATTTCAAAACAGCGGATCTGCTGCAACTGTGTAGAAATAATTTACCTTTTTTTTTTTTTTTTAAACTATGAGTTAAAAAAAAATCTAATGTCAAGCTTCAATTCAATGAGAAGACCTATAATTGATATTAATAATGATAATAATTATACTATGAATACTAATCGTTTTGATCACATTAACAAGCCTCGGGCATATGAGACTGTTAGTCCTGTCTGCTTAAGCAGATGCTTGCCAGCACCTCCAAAGAAACTGAACCAGTTTTGGGCTTTTTGCCGAGATCGCTATTTCATTTTTCACTATTAAAACCATACATCGGTGGTGGTGGCTGAAGTGCACACCTTTAATCCCAGCAGTCAGAAGGCAGAGGCAGGCAGATCTCTGAGTTCAAGGCCTGCCTGGTCTACAGAGCACGTTCCAGGACAGCCAGGGTTACTCAGAGAAACCCTGTCTCAAAAATAAATTAAACAAACCAACAAACCACAGTTACACAAGCCTGCAGACCTGCACACATGTTCTCTCTCACACATAGATAAAGAAATAAAATAATTGTTAAAAAAAAAAAAGAAACTAGAAATAATCCAAGCGTCCAACTCCAGGAGTGACCACAGAACTGAAAATTCAGCAATTCATTTCATCCAACAGCTGTGTATGGTGGGACGCACTGGTACTGCCAGCACTCAGAAGCAGGGGAGTCACACATTTTGAGATAGCTTGATACAAGCCTTTTGCTTTCTTTCCTTCCTTCTCTTCTTTCAAAATGAATTTATTATGTATACACTGTTCTTCCTGCATATCAGAAGAGGGCACCAAATCTCATTTTAGATGGTTGTGAGCCACCATGTGGCTGCTGGGAATTGAACTCAGGACTTTAAGAGCAGCCAGTGCTCTTAACCTCTGAGCCAGCTCTCCAGTCCTACAAGCCTTTTTCTAAAAAGCAATCAGGAATAACAAAGTCTATAGACCATAGGGCATAGGAGGTTAAAGCAGGAGGATCAAAAATTTGAGGCCAGCATAGGTTACATGGTGAGATCCCGCACAGCCTGGGCTAAATGTCAAGATCCTGTCTCCCAAAACCAACCAACCAACCAAAACCAAAAATACAGCAAAACAGGAACTCTTCAGTGCGCCTATTGCATCTGGTGTGCATGCAACAACAGCGGTGAAGGTCAGACCTTCTGCTAGCAAAGAGGCAGGTACTAGATGAGATCTTGTTAAAAGGAGTGCACAGAGACAGCTGGCTGGGCTGGCTAGTTCAGTGGTGGAGCACTTGCCTAGCATGCACGGGGCCCTGGGCTCAGTGCCCAGTGCACAAGTAAAAAATGTATTGGCCAAAGGAACGAACCGGTTTACTCTGAATCTCCTAGGTTATAAGAAGGTCAGTGACAGCTAAACAGATTAATAGTTGTCTGCAATGAGACGGTTGGTCTCAAAGATCACTAAGAAATTTGGGAGTGGTTATAGAATAGTCTTTCTCTCTCTCTCTTTTTGAGACAGGATCTCTCTATTACATAACCCTGGCTGTCTGGGAACACCTCACTATGTAGACTAGGCTGGCCTTAAACTCACAGAGTTCCACCTGCCACTGCCTCCCAAGGGCTGGGATGAAAGGTGTACACTCCCATGCCCAGCCTGAATAGTTCTATATTTTAGCCAGAGTGGTAATTTGTCAAAACTCAACAATTTGTATATTTTTTTTTGTACATTTTATTTAATTTTTTCATTTTATCTGCACTGGTGTTTTGCCTACATGTATGTCTGTGTGAGAGTGTTGCATCTCCGGGGACTGGGCAGTTGTGAGCTGCCATGTGGTTGCTGGGAATTGAACCTGGGTCCCCTGGAAGAGCAGACAGTACTCTTAACTATGGAGCCATCTTCTAAAGCCCCCACTTCGTATATTTAAAGTGGCATGCAAATTTTATTTAAGTAATATGGCAGCACTTTAAAACATAAAACACACAAAAATTGGACTATGATATAACAGACTTGCCAATTAATTGGGCTCTCCCAGAAAAAAAAGAATCCTGGACCCATTATATAGCCCAGGCTGGTCTTGAACTCCAGATCCTCCAGCCCTGGCCTCCCAAATGCTGGGATTACTAACATGTCACCAGGTCTGAAAGCAGTTTTTAAAAACATGATGCCATCATAGGCAGCATTTGCTGCTTTCCCTGGCCTAGGTGCTTTACTCAGATTCCACGATGTCCCCACACACACCCTGCTGCAAAACATTGCTATTAAGCTGACAAGAGGTGGGAGAGGGGCTTTGTGGCCTCATGGCTGGTGACAGGTTAATAGTCTTCCACTGTTGAAGATCATGGGATCACGGTTTACAAAGTGTCCGGAACTCAAGAGCTGAAAACAAAAACCTGAAGCAGGTGAGCAGAGAAACACTGGAAGCAGATTGCTAGCTTATTCTTTTTCAGTTTCATAGAGTGACATCCCCTTTCTAAAAAGGCATGGTTATAGCCCACAGTGGTGGCCCACCCCTGGAATCCCAGCACTCAGGGGGGCAGAGGCAGGCAGACTGCTCAGAGTTCGAGGCCAGCCTGGTCTACAAAGGGAGTCCAGAACAGCCAAGGTTACACAGAGAAACCGTGTCTCGAAAAACAAAACAACAAAGGCATGGTTATCTTCCTTAAAAGTACACCTGGGAGATGGGGGCTGTGGCTTAGTGGCAGAATGCTTGCACAGCACACGGAAGGTCCTGGGTTGGGGTCCCAGCATTCCATGAAGCTAGTAATCTGCTTCAGGTGGTACATGCCACTCAAGAGGTAGAGGCAAGAGGATGAGAAGTTCCAGGTCATCCTCTGCCACACACAAGTTGGAGATACAGCCCGAGATACATGAAACCTTGGGTTTTGTTTGTTTGTTTTGTTTTTTTTAAGTCTATTTTAACTTACTTGTCAAGGTAGATAGGGAATTATTTATGGAACCAAAAAATAATGTGTTGGGAGACTACACAACCCTACTATAGTGTCCTGCTGGATAAACGCGATCTTGGGCTTCACTATAAGAGGTCCACAGATTTATCTAGAATATAGGAAGCCCTGGATTCAATCCCCAAAGACCAAAAGGAGAAGGAAGGAAGAGGACAGGGAGGAGGACAAGAAGAGCCACCTATCTGCCTGCAAAGGCTCTTTTTCCTCTTCTGCTTCCTTCTGTATAGTTTGCCTTCCACTTTTACCACTCTTGAGCACACATTTCCAGCTGGCTGTCTGTAATTCAAATATAACTCAAAACAAGTTCATTACCTTCCCCACCTCCAATCCAGGTCTCTGCCAGAGTTCTCTATTTTCTCAAACCATCAAGTGAAAAACTTAGGAATCAGTTTCCCCTCTTTTGCATTTTAATCTCTTAGTTGAATTTCTGAGTGCTTCCTCTGGGCCCCCTCTACACACCGTTGCGTAGTCGATACTTTTAATAAAGATCTAAGGATGTCCTCTCTTGCCCTAAGACGGTCCACGACTCCCATCCCATCCGTTCAAGGAGTGTGTCTCATTTGCTCACATCTAACAGCCGCTCCAAGATACTTGTTGAAGAGAATTGAGAGAGGACAAATTCCATCCGGGAAACGTAGGCCAGCTGGATCTACCCTCACTCGCCTGACAACTTTTGTTTTAGCAAACAAGGTGATCAAACAGCTACCTACTTCCTGTCTGGCTTGGGAAAAAAACCTAACATAACCGCTCCTTAGTGAACCGTGGCCCGCTTCACTTTGCTGTGGGGCTTTCTATAGTAACTTTTAACTTTATAAGAATTTTAAATTTACCATTAGTTGCAAAGATTTAAACCTATACTCCTTCACTGAAATTCCTCTAAGGTTAGCACTAGGGTACATTTATCAACAATCGAGACAGGTTAAACTAACCCACAGACCCGCGAATTTCCTGTTTTCTCGAGAACTTTGGTTCGTTCCTTTTTGTTTCAGGATATTGAAACCAAGACATTGCACAGCGTTTAGTGCGATGCAGCTCTACAGCGCAAAATTAGTAGAAAAATAATATCAAGAAACAGAAACAAGGTTTTTGAAATCGGTATTCCCCAGTGTCAGACGAGGCCATCCAGGGCTGGCTGTGCGGGAAGAGCAGCCGGTGTGCTAACCTGACCACCCCCCGCAGTTCCCTCTTCTGCTCCTGGCCCTCCCCACCGCGGGACTGAAGCGGCGCTCTGCCCGTCCGTCCCAAGGATCGAACCTGCCGCCGCGCAGTCCCGGCGCCCTTTCGGTGGCTCGTCCCGCACCGCCGCGCGTCCTCCGGCCGCGTGACCGCACGACCGTCGCCGGGGACCAGGAGGGCCGCCAGGTCCCGGTGGGCCCGCGGCGCCCCAGTCCTCAGCCGCGTCCGGGCCTGCGTGAAACCGGATGTTAGCCGCCCTCCTCCGCCTGCAGTTCCAAAGCCGGACGGACAGCCGCAAGGACAGCCGACGTGCAAACAAAAGCCCGAGATTTAGAGCAGCCCAGGACGAGGCGAGCGACAGAACGCTTTAAATGAGATGGACTTCAGGAACCCCTCGGGGAAGAGTGCGCCTGAGGTGAGGTTCCCGAGAGGCAGGTCCTGGACCGCAGGCCTCCTGCAGCGTGGGCCAGAGGGCGTGCTGGGGCGCAGGGGAGGCAGGGCTGGTGGCTAGACCACCCTGCACATCTCCTGCCACAGGCGCGCCTGGCGCTAATCCGGTAGGCCGATCCACGTCATTGCCCTGCTGCAATGACTAGTGGTCACCCTTTAATAACCGAGGGCTTTGAGGTTGCCAAACGTTTCCCTAGGCTTAAAGATCACCCGGTTTAGAAACAGAGATCAGGTCCTCTTGCAGTAATGAACCTCTCAGTTCCTCTCCAGAGCCAGTCTGTATTGTCCTTAGAGGGAACCCCGACTTGGAAGAACGGGATTTCCCTTGGCAGACCTTCTGCCTCTGCCGTGACCTACGTGGAGTCACTCTTTCATACAAGCCCATGTAAAACCTAGCTTCTGCGCTTGACCCCAATACCTGTATGGCAACTTGTGAACTTCTAGGGGTGGCTGTGTGAATTCACAGCTCCTTAAATATGTGTGTGTTTCTCTGTGTAGCTTTGGCTATTCTGGACTCACTTTGTAGCCCAGGCTGGCCTCGAACTCAGAGATCTGCCTGCCTCTGCCCACTTGAGTGCTGGGATTACAGGCGTGCACCAACACGTCCAGATCTATACATGTGCAACGGTATACAGAAAACCAGTAACGTTTTCTAAAGGGAGGTGACCTGGGGAGAAAGGTGGACTAAAAGGCCAGTAAAACATTTTGTACCAAGTAAGTTCTGTATACAGACCAGGAAACATTTGCCGTATCCAGCGTAGCTCCAGGGACAGTCCTGACTAGGGGTGGGCAAGGGACTGAAGACATGACACAGGCAGGAAAGCTGTCAGGTGGACTGGACCCTGTGGCGGAGAAGCCAAGCATCCTAGCTCAGCTTGTTGGGAGGAGAGTGACTGCATACAGCTAACTAGGAGGTGGTGCCGCAGATAACCAAGGATGCCACGTTTATGGTTCACATGGAGACAGGGTTAGCAAATCTCAGTACGAGCGGTCTCTAGGCTGTGAACACCCAGAGAGGAAAGCTGCAGGGACATTTTCTGCACAGTAGACATGCACACCAACCACAGGAAGGCTTGCCATCCCTCTGAGCCCCCGGGAGTCAGCTTTCCTAAGGGTCTGAAGCTATGGGGGCCCTGACATGGCTGTGCACACATCAATGGTACACATTCACTCAAGACTTCATTCATCTGGGCCTTCCTTGGCCCCCCGAAATTGTTAGTCCATTTTTTTTTTTTTGGTATGTGTATGTGATGTCAGTCGTCTTTCTTGCTCACACTAGTACCCTCTTGCTGAACCCAGAGCTAGCCAGTCCAGCTGGTCTAGTGAGCCAGCTCGTCCCAGGGCTGTGTCCCCAAGGCTGGGTTTACAGCCTAATGCCTGTGCTGTAAGCACTTTATCCACTGTGCCATCTCCCCAGTCCAATTATTAAGCCTGCCTAACACCTGTGTGCGCATGTGGAACTCCGACGACTGACTGAAGGGTCGGGTTGGTTCTCTCCTTCCTCCATGAAGGTCCCAGACACTGCATTCAGGTCCCTCAGCCTTATGTCAGTGCTGTTACACCTCAGCCATCTCATCAGCCCCCTCTAGTTTTTTCAAAATAAAAAAGGGATACTGATGCTGTATCTTTAGTTTTCCATTTTTATTTTAAGAGATCACCTACACTTTAATGATCAAATTTATTATCATTTTGAAGACAATGTTCGGGCTCACTCCTTAATATTCGTATCTGAGATTGTTTAAGCTTTCTCATGGAGATGAGAAATCCAGGCAGCAGCTACAACTGCAACACAGTTTTCTTCTGAGCCTTGGGTATTTCTATTGCGTGGACTGAGTGATCTCAACAAGGGTAGCTGTATTGAGGCCAGGCTTTTTTCTTTTTTCCTTTGAAACAGAGTCTTACTACACAGCGCTGGCTGGCCTAGAACTCACTATGTAGACCAGCTGTTGCTCCTAAGATCTGGGATAAAGGTGTATGCTATGGTGGGGCCTGGCTGCCCAGTCTCTAAGTTAAGAGTTATGGTCTTTGACCCATTGCTCGATCCATTTTGAGATTTGGTTGATATTATCCTCGAGCTCTTCTGGTTCATTACTGGGCAGCTGATGCACAATTTCTTCTTTGTAAGATGCTATGGCTTCTTCATAAAGAACTTGAAAAATCTCACACTGAATATTGTCTTGTAGTTTCTTCTCATTATAACCCCTAGAAGGCAAAGAGAGGTTAAGTGAACATAATGCCGTTAACTATAGCTTTGGGAACTGTAACAGCAAGATCTGGTGCTTTGTATTTGACTGTTAATTAATTTGCTCCCTAAGGTCTGTTTGCTGTCTTTTATGAGCAGACAGGTACCACAAAATATTTGTAGCCTTGCCTAAAAACTTATTCCTATTAGACCAATAAAAAGCTAACACACCTGGGCAGGGCAAATGAGGTAGGTGTGGCTATGGTTTGTGGGCTTGAGGATCTTGGGAAGGAGACAGTAGAGGAGGAGGAAGAAGGAAGAAGCACATGGCCGGCATGGATGGAGGAACTGGCCCAGATGAAGAATAAACAAGTATTTATGGAACTATGGATGGGAGGTAACTTGGGATGGGGCTGGGAGGTAAAGGTACTTTAGAGGGTTAGTATCTGCTCTGCTCTGGGTGAAATAAGGCTATTAAAAAATCTAGCAGGTGTCTGTGTCTTCTATTGATTGTGATAGTGAGTTATAGACACTTTTTTGAATATATAAAAAATTATACAAAACTTCTTTTCCTACTCTCTTTGTCTAGAGGAAATAGACTAGCATCTATATGACGGGCTTCTTTGACATGAGGACTAAACTAAGATTTATGAGACTAACATTAGGTTTATCTGAATTCTGTGCTAATTTATTAGCTGCTCAAATAATTACCACCAATTGGCCAACAAACAAGTACCTCCCTCAAGCCAGATTCTTGGCTAAGGGATTAATAAAGGGATCCATAGCAAGGATTTATGATAAAGACAGATAGTATACACAAGAGGAAAGTGTTACCATATATCAGTTGGATAACTCATCACAATAATGTTATCTGTATTTTACCAATCCCAAAGGTAATAAAAGTAATTCAAATAATGTTTAGGCAGTATGTAAACTAACAACTAAATAACCAGTTAAAAAGTTACAGGGCCTGTAGAGGAATTTTAAATCAAAACATGGCTGCTTTGGCAAGAGATCACATCCAAAGACGTTCTAGGTTGTGTGATCTGGCTGCAATGCAAACATGCCTTTAGTCCAGGAGATAGAGGCAAGAAGATCTGAGTTCAAGGCCAGCCTGGTATAGAGCAAGTTACAGGTAAAGAAAAGCTTAGATCCAGGTGTGGTTGTACACACCTTTAATTATAAACAATGAAAGTAAAGTAAAGTTAGTTTGTAGAAGGAAGCAGCCATGCTTGAAAGTGATGTCTAATTGAGTGGCAGAAACAGTGATGAATTAGAGAAAGATTTGACAGAATAGGAAATGCCCAACTCTCATGAGAAGAAAGAGGAATGGGAGGCTACTAAAGGGGCAATGAGAGAAGGAGGAAGAGGCAGTTTTACCGGGACAGTAACAGAACAAGCTAGATTCAGGTGAAGACCAATGCACCAGAGAATGAGAAGAACCAGTAGTTTTCCCTCCAACTTCCCTTTTCTGGTTAAATATGCTTTATATGGGTGGGGCCAATATATATTTTAGTAATTGTGAAATGCTGAATTATCTTGTTAGTTCTGTCTGTCTGTCTCTCTCTTTGTATACAGTGTTTTGCCAGACAATCAGAGGGAACCAGATTTCGTTATAGATGGTTGTGAGCCACCCTGTGGTTGCTGGGACTTGAACTCAGAACCTCTGGAAGAGCAACCAGTGCTCTTAACCTCTGAGCCCATCTCTCCAGCCCTCTTTTTAATTTTTTTTCCAATACAGGGTTTCTCTGTGTACCCCCGGCTGTCCTAGAAGTCAATTTGTAGACTAGGCTGGCCTTGAACTCAGAAATAAGTCTTCCTCTATCTACTAAGTGCTGGGATTACAGGTGTGTGCCACCCAGAGCATATTTTGTTAATTTTCACAAGCTTCCCCATTGTTGGTGTAGGGATAATTTGAATGGATAGTCCTTAAACAAAGAGTATTACTGTTTGGCTCTTTTTCTAGGAAAGGCTTGTATAGAGGATAAAGCATGATTATGTGAGGTTTTCTATCTGGTATATTTTATTAAATCAAATTTTCAGTTGAAGCTGGGCAGTGGTGGTACATGCCTTTAATCCTAGCACTTGGTAGGCAGAGACAGGGTTACACAGAGAAACCCTGTCTTAAAAAAAAAATTCAGTTGAGATATTCTGTTACTCAGAGAGTACTCATTTGTACAAATGTCTTTGGTTCAGTATAATCATAATCACACTGATTTACTTTACAGAGAACAATTAAAGCAGCTACTTTTCAAACGAAGTCTTCTCATGGTAGTGTCAGCCAACTTTATGAATCAGAAAAAAATTCATTTCCTCTAAAAAACAAAATCAATGTTTTTCTTTTCCTTACCTTGTTTCAAGTCGTTTGTACAATATACTATTATCTGTTCTCAAGACAAAAACTATATGAAACCAGCGTTCAGGAAAGAAATCACAACCATGGTAATCAACAATAACGCCGCCTTCTCTCATCTGATTCTCTAACTCATCAACAACCTGTAATGAACACACGAACACACAAAAAAGATGAGTGCTCCGAAGGAAACAAAAATTAATTTGCCCATGAAGTTCAACAAATGTATTTTCAGTTCAGTCATACTCACTCTGTCTTCATCTAAAATGGGACAACCATATTCTTCGTCATAGCCATCATATAACTGCCCTAGAAAGAGATTTACAGTAGCTTGTTAGTATTTCCTGATAGTTTTCACTGTTTTTTAATTAATTCTAGATTTGAAGAAACACATCAACGGTTCCTTCAGATGCAAGAAAAGGCACAATATGATGGTTGCCGTTCGGTCAACAAACAGAAAGAGCAACACTGAAAAACCGGAACTTACCTAGAAGGAAACCTGGGTGGCAACACATCTAAAACTTTCTTTGCTTGCTTTGTGCCCTTGAGTCAGAGCCTCACC